TAATCACTATAAATAAATAAAAAAAATACCTTTAAAAAATCAGAAGTTTTACAAAGCACTTTCAAAATATAAGAAATCTGATACTTTTTCCTATCTTTCTCTTTTTCGACTTCTAGCTTTTTAGATATTATTTTTGTTTTTGATTATATATATTTCTAGCTTTTCGTTTTTGTAAATATTCTTTTTGCTTTTCCTATAGCTTCTTTTTATTAGATTTAATTATTACTAATATCTTTTTGATTCTTTAAAGCTTAAAAGAGATTCAATATTATAAATATAATGCTTATTATTATTATTATTATTGTTATTCCTAAAAGTATATTGTTTATATTATTTATAATATTTTGTATTTGGAATAACTATATTTCATAAGAAATAAATAGTATAATTAATTGAATTATACAATATGTAATATATTAATTTACAAATACACATTTCTAAATATTTAATTTTTCAATGCTTATTCCTTTTACTTTTATTCTTAAAGCTTTTTAGATATACATCCCTTGAATATTTGAAATCTTTTTTATAATAAACTGAAATAATTCAAATCTAAGTCTTGAAAATATTATATTCCAGGAAATCCTGTAATTATAATATAAACTACAAATGTATTATATAAAGAAGCTATGTTATATATTAATATCGGAAAGAGATTAATAAATAAATAAAAGCTAGGTATAGGTGAAAGATTATCTTTTTTTAAAAATAAGAATGTAAAGAAAACTTTAAAAGCAAAAATTCAAAATATAAGAAAATAGTTTAAAAAAGGAAAAGCAGAAATTATTAAAAGAGCTTATTAATGAAAAGTGGGAAGTAAATAAATCTTTTTTTGATTTCTAAGCTTCTTTTTTATTAATTAAATATAACAATTATATTATAAAAAATTAAAAAGTATCAAAAATCAATCGAATTGCTTTTGAAAAAAGCCCCTTTTCAATATTTAGTTAAAGAGGTTTCGGATTAATTTATATTTAATGAAAAATGTTGAAGGTAGAATGCTGCTGTTTTTGTAGTAATTCAAAAGGCAGTTGAATCCTTTATAGTTATTTGTTTTGAAAATGTGTTTTCTATTCTTTTTATTTATCAATTAAGTAAATTATTGATTTAATTTATAGTACTATAATATTATACATTTCATACAAAGAGACAAACTATTAAAAATACAGATAGCATTTTTCTTCAAAGAATAATAAAACTGGCAATCCTTGTTATTGGTGGATATTATACTTTGAGAGGTTAAATTTTATAGTTTTCTTACTAGCCATTGTGACGGACCTAAAGCTCTCTTCTTTACCACTAGGCCACACAACCCCAAAAGGGATAATTTAAGATCGAAAGATCTTAAAGAAGAGAGTCTATATACTAGATAATGTGACTCGTCACAGCCATTTCTCATTAGCCATTTCTCACCAGTCATTTCTCACTTGCCATTTCTTACTAGCCAGCTACTATATACTTATATTCTTTATTTCATATACCCAGAACTAGTGAATAGGTATTATTCGTATTTATATATTATTAATATCAAATAAGACAAAGGTATTGAAAGATATAATATTAATATCTAATTGAATAAATACAAAGGTTATATTGATAAAAATATATAATAAAAAGAATAGAATAAACAGAACTACTAAATCAAAAGCTATTAGAACTTAGAAGCCACTCTTTATTTAAAGCTTGTTATAAAGAAGTGAATAATAAAGGTATTTCATTATTTTCCTTTTTATACTGCTTTTTAAGCTCTCTATAGATTTTATTTACAAACTCTACTTGAAATAGGCCTATACGCATAAATATCAATAGCTCACCATAAGATTGACAAATATCAGGCACCGGATATTGTAGGAAATCAATAAGCTTGAAAGCAATATTAGCCCCTAGGAACTTATATTTGCTAGAATAGTTTTGTACGATTATATAATATACTTAATGTCAAAGAGATAATGGATTGTCGACTTGAGTATATAAGACACTAGAATGATTTCTCGATTTATTAAAATCTCTTAAAGATTCATTAATATAAAATAAACTATCTGTAATTTCAAAAGAGACAGTTTTTCGAGGCCTTTTTGATAATGTGTAGTTTGTAATAGATTGTTTATATCGCTTTATTTCTAATTATAAATCAATTAATAATAAAATATATCTCAAAAATATAAATTCCTTATTTTATATATCCCAGAACTATATTTATTTTATCTTTTAATATTTTTATTTAAGAAAGGTATAGAGTATATTGAATTAGTAAGATTATTCTCTTTATCCGAAGAAATGATTGTTTATTGCATTAAAGCTATAGGATGATATGTAAATTTATTATTAACTATACAAGTTTCAAATAGAAATTAAAGAATCGATTAGCTCTCTATATAATGACTTCGATGTCAATAATATTTTCGATTATTAGCTTCACTTGCTTGTAGAAGCATTTTCTATAAATGATTAGATATATAAGGCTACATAATATCATTCTTTTTATTGAATCTAGTATTTCAATTAGATAGGTTAAGAAGATACCGATACTCTATATAATATCCCTTAATCTAAATCAAATTAATTAGATCAAATAAACAATAAAAAAAGAGAACATTTATATTGAATTGATTTTCTTTTTAATTTAATTACTAGTTTGTCACGGAATTCACCGTATAGTGTAACCCTACGGTATTAATCCTAGTACTCCTCCGGAGTACTCATTCCCATGATTACTAAAACTATTTCATTCAGTTCATTTGTGTACCCTATATACCTAATTAGGCGACTCCATCGCTTGATCAGGGTATATAAAGCAGGTATGATCCTTATGATCACACCTCAAGTCAATCTAGTTTATTATCACTCTATATACCTATCTCCTGATCAAAGTGACCATTAGACATAGCTATTACCTCCGTGATATAGTTAGATTCTTATTACTATTAATATGTATCTTATACTCTAAAGCAATAGCTTATACAAATTGATTATAATAAAGTATTCTCTATCTAGTGAATTGATCTAATTATTAATTAATCTTTTGTAAATAATTTTATATTAAATTTAAAAAAAGCTTTTCATAAAGTTTCCATTTGAATTGATTTATAGATTTCTTCAAAATATCTTTGGTTTTAGTTTTCGGATCCACTGATTTATTCTTCCTTTCAATAATATCAGTAAAGGGATTCTTTTCATTTTCTAAACTATTACAAATATTATATTTTGGATTTTGATTGGTGTTATAGCTATTATTAACATTTCTCTCATTATTATTATTCTCATCGCTGTTTGTATCGATATTTATTGAGAGCCTCTTATTGATTTCGGAATTCTATTATATATTATAAATTAATATAATTAAAATAAGCTTTATTTAAATCAAATACCTGTATATAGCTTTTCTTTTTTGTAAAGAGTATTTTCTTCTGATTGAAGATGGTATTGTTATTATAAAAGGAATTAAATAATAAATCTCTAATAAGAGAAAAGAAGGAGGTATTATAATCTCAAAGTGTCACGGGGTGACACTAAGCCCTTTCTGTCCTGTCCTGTCCTGCTATATATGTGAGAGTAAGGTAGAACTTCCAGTTCTACCTCCTAGTCTTTTGGGCGTTTAGCTCAGCGGTAAAGCTTCTGAATACTCCCAGAGGTGATCCCGTGACACAAAGTTGGCTTTGAGATTTGGTTGCTTTTGCTATAGGTTTAAGTTTTCGTTTGAAATAACGAATTGAGGGAGAGGGACTTCGAGTTCGAGATTTTCTATCTCTTTTTTATATAGATATAAATTTTCAATTATTATCATTATCAATAATTTTCGACTTTCTAAATGCTTTCGAGATATTTTGGGTAATGATTGTATTATTAGCTATTAAAATAATTTTATATATAGAAAATAGCTTCAAAAATATTTCAAAAAAAGATTCTTTTTTTGAAAAGAAAAGAAAAAAAAAAAGATAAAATCAAAATGTATTTCTTTTCCAATTCTAAATACTTTTTAAGATTATTACTCTATTAAAGCTTTTTATATAGTTTTCAATTTTAAATATAGGGTTTTAATATCGAATTGAAATTTAAATTAAATATTCTAGAAAAACCACAAATTATTTGGCGGATTTGATATTCAAACTATAAAACCACAAATTAATAATCCGCTCTTTTTGAAGCGGATTGATATTATTGCGGAATCCGCAATAGCACAAAGTGCAGATTATTTCAGCAGATTCAGCACGGATTTTACATCCAAACTAGCCCTTAGACAGGTGAAAAGCCGGAACAAAGATTTTCTTTTCAGAATCGGGTTGCTCTTATTGCAACAAGATTCTTTCAAAGGTAGAATATACTATCACAGTGTGGTCTGGGTGCTAGATAAGATATATGATATTCTACGAGGTTGTGCAGAAGAAGGCGGGGAGGCGCCGACTATATGGAGGGTGGTTGCCTAAGGCATCCACCTAACTACGTATTGAACCCGTGACAAATATATATATATATATACATAGTAAATCAGTCATTCATCTTCCACCTCTACATCTACATCTACATCTACATCTACATCTACATCTACATCCATCTTCTCACAAGCAGTATATTACATTCCGTGTACAAATTCCTTATTTTCTTATTTTTTTTTTTCATCCAGTACTGCTTTTCTTATTATACATACTAAATACTACATATTACCAACGATCCTGATAAAAAAGGAAGAAAAACCAGTAACAATAGCTCTGGTAAATTTACAAAGAGGAACTACTTCGCGAGCTATATCTATCCTATCTATGATTTTATATACCTGATTGAGCGCATCTCCTCAAATATATCTCAGAGAACAAAGCTTACATGACCAGATATCTACTGACTCGCCTATGAATCTAAGCAAGGAGAATCGTCTTCAGAAGGGGCGACATTCTGATTATGAGACTCCTTCCTTTTCAAAAACATGAGAGTCTGTGTATTCACCACTCATGTAAAACTCATGTAGACATTCATCACACCACTTGTATCACATAGAGAAGGATAAATATTTACTTAGCTACAGAACCATTGAGTGTATTCATAGTAACCAAGCCTGAGTCTAAGCATAACTAATATTTCTAACTATTCGCTCACCAATTTCGAACCCGAGAGTTTAGAAATAAAAATACATCGAATCTCGCAACTAAGGATCCAATATCCATCGAAGCCCACCAAAGACACACAATAAACTCCCCAAATACCCTCCAAAATAAGACCCAATCCCATGGTATGCTAATATCCTATAAAAACGCCTATCATCTATTCATAATGCGTGCCCATCTCGATTTCCATTCCCATCCCCACACTTCCTTATTGAGAGGTAAGAGCGTTACTCATACCCATTAACGCCATGCCCACAAATGCAAAAGAAATGCACAAGCTTCTATTATGATTCAGACCCAGGCACTCCGCGAAAAGATGCAATGCGACACTAGCCATAATACCCCCCGTGATACCAAACATACATCCATAAGCCACAATATTAGGCGCATGACCTTCCCGTCCGGCAATTGAAAACCATGCGGCTGCAATTGCGGCACCGGCTGGCTGTGACACACCTCCAAGGAAGGAACTCCAGAAGATAGCTCGTGGTCGGCTACCAAGTGCTAGGTATAATGGTAAAGCCATTGCAAACCCTTCAGTGATGTTATGAACAAGTAAAGCTAAAAAGACAGAAACTCCAAGTTCGGGGTTTGCATGGTTTGTAGCAAATGTAATAAAACCTTCTGGTAATTTATGTAGTCCAATAGCTATACTTGTTTGAAGACCAATATCCATGAACGCATTTTCGGGAACGTGGTGATGATGTTGTTGAGCTTCAATGTCAGAGTCATGACAATTGGGAATTTCCGTTTCGGAAGTAGCCCTGCGTAATTGTGCTGAACTATCTGGAGCCACTTCTTCATCTTCTTCTGGTAATGTGAAAGAATGAGATCGGGTTGACAAGGTGCCTGTGGGAGTTCGCGCCGGATAAGGAATTTTTGTACTCATGGGGGTTTTCAAGCATTCTCGTCCACAAAGGTCAGAATATCCAAAACATGGTCCACTCTCGTCACAATTGGCCTTCCTATCCTTTACAAAAGACATCACCCTGTCATGAACTACCATGAGCGATGGTCGCCTGGTAAGATTATGGGATTGGCGGCGATTGCTTGACTGAGAATCTTTATTTGGTGGTGCAAGAGCTTCAATTGAAGGCTTTCCATTCTCTCCGACATGTGAAGCGAGAAGTGGTGTAGTTTCCGTCATCGCACCGTTTCCTTGATTGACTGCTACATGAGAACTCGATTTTGATAGTGGAAGATGATTATCATGGTGGTCATCAAAGCCATCGAAGGTTTGGTGATTGTGGCTGTGGTTGTGGTTGTGGTTGTGGTCGTGGTCGTGGTCGTGATGCGCTGCATCTTGATTGTGAGAATGATCGCAATGTGAGACATGCGAGGGGATAAATTGATGCATGAGTCTCGAAACAATTTGTATGCCAATGAATCCTGCAGCGAAACAAGCCAGAAGAGTCCATGCAGCAGCTTGAGCTGTATAACCACCCTCCATCAGATATTTTTTCGATGATGGGAGCATACTATATAGCGAAGAGAATATCTAACAAAAGAAATGTATGGTTAGTAAACAAGTAGACGAATGGATGAAAGATAGAACCTACCATTACACCAAAACTCAAACTTAAAGATGCAGCTAGGAAAGCATTGTTATCTTGTATCCTGAAATTCTTCTTGCTGGGGATATATCTAATCAATAGATCTATGCATATTATGCAACTACCAATGACACATGCTAAAAACTGTCGTTAGAGTTGATCAAACATCGGTCCATGGACCACGGAGTATTATACTGACCTATTCCACTGATAATAGCCATGATCCACCCTCTCATATCATTACTCAACGAGTCTGCCTCCATACTGACGGCTTGTGATGCCACTTTTATAATGATATATTCCTACTTCCTCAAACACTCTCTCCGTCTGCGGGGTTGAAATACAAGTAGTAACTCAAAAATGTATCCAATACAAGGTGGCACAAGGTCGAACTAGGTCAAATCTGACTGTATGGGCTGTCGCAGGTTATCCCCGATGTTGTTGCAGAAGGTAGTATTGAAGGTGGTATTGTTGCATGTGTTGTCACAGTGGGATTAATGTAGATCGAGGTGATGTAGCTATGAGTGTCCAAATGATCCAAAGTGCAGTTCAAAAGTAGACAAGAAAAAGTCTCGGAAGGAGCAAGAGTATATTAGGATTTTAGGTGAATGTGAGACTGGCGAAGCAAACAATCTTTGAAGGAGGTAACAAAGTAACGGTGTAAGAGAGTGAAAGAACGAAAGAGTTAGAGGAAGAAGACGAACAGAATATTCACAGGTTTTCGCGGCTATAGGAAATGAATTGTCTTATGTCATAGGTTGCTGTGAAATAATGAAGAAGAAGAAGATGATGATGATAATGATAATCGAATGACAATAACAATAACAATGACAATGACAAGAATGATGAGAATGAATACACGATGAATATTATTAAGCTACTCTACCTTGTCGTATCAGTAGGAAGAATAATAAAATTACCTAGGAAGACCTTGATGGCTTGGTGCAAGAAGACAACAAGAAAGTCAGAGAGACCCGAATTCAATTTTCTCCAAAAGGTTAAATCATAAATAAATCATGTAAATCATAGATGCATCCATCTATCCTTTCTGATTGGTCAATAGATATAAATTCACATTAAATCCCGAGTTTTTAATTCGTCATTGAGAAAAAAGAAAATATAGACAAGGCGGAGTCGTATGAACCTTAACTCGATCCTTTTAACCATCAAGGTTCTCATATTGATCCCGCCACACCGCTGTCCTTGACAATTGGTTCCACGTGCAGCTCTCGAGATTATTCATCTCCTTGACATCGATGTTGATTGGCCATGATGTCTATCGAGTAATTGCTTTTTCTTTGTTTTGTTGTTCGAGTCAAGATTTGTTTGTTTATACGATGTGGTTCAGATAAGAAAACACCTACGAGATCAAGAACGAGCCGCAGTAGCGTAGATGCATATACAGGTGGAAAATGTCACTTACGTTATCTTGATTGCGTGTCTACGATATGTACTCCTCCATTCCATTCCATTCCATTCCGCCCGGATGTCTAAAATCATTTGGAAGAATAGTACTTCAGTATCTAATTCTAATTTAAAGAGTGCTACAGCTATTCTACTCGAGCTCACATCATCGAGATGCATTACCCAGTATCCTTCGAGATCAGTTGTCGATTCTCGGAGTTAGGTGTAGATATCTTGAGCGCATTAGACGACTATTCTAGAAAGATTTTTGTATAAGAATCGAATTATTGAGAAGTGTACCAATTCTATAAGGGTTTAATGTTCTGGCGGGACTCGAGTCTTTGAATGTATCCCTATATAATCTCAATATGAGACCTGTATAGATCCCAGATCCCAGCTTGAACTAGACACCCGGGGTTCTTAGGCGAGGTCCTCAGGGGGGCAAGGTGGGCTTTCAGTATCCAATTATCAGTTTTCTCATCCCAAGACTACCATCTGAATGATTGATCGAATTACTCATTTATGTAGAGTTCTCATCCTAAACTATCATCCAAATACATGTGAATTGTGTCATCGAAATGACTCGACATAAACCGTATATTCCTGATGATGTGGCTTTGATATTGTAGTATTTCAGTGACTCGAAATGAATCGTATAGTCATGGTGATGTGATTTTGATGTCGTAGTGACTCGAAAATGTCTCCAAATGACAAATCTGAAAGCTTCAACCCGCCTCCAGAGGTGCTCAAATAGACCCGGTTCCCCCCATTTGGACTTGCTTCCTTCTTCAACAAACATCATCAAAATCCACAACTAATGCAATAACTACTTTTCGTATCATTCGACTTCAAATCACACAAACTACCCTCAATAATCAACCTACCTTAAACAACGAACCTATCCTAAACAACAACCTATCCTAAACAACCAACCTACTCTCAACAACCAACCTACCCTCAATAATCAACCACCTTAAACAATCTACCTACCTTAAACTATCTCAAACAATCTACCTGCCTTAAACAACGAACCTACCCTCAACAACCAAACTACCCTTAACAACCAACCCACCTTAAACAATCTATCTACCTTAAATTACCTCAAACAATCAACCTACCTTAAACAACCAAACTACCCTCAACAACGAACCTACCTCAAACAACCAACCATCTTTTCAAAATCAGACCTCAAACTCTGGTAGATACCCGTTGTCTTTTGACACTTCGTTGAACATTGACTTACTTCTACTTAACTTTAAAGCTTAGCAATATGTCCACTTCCAACGAAGAATCTACCCCTGCGCCAACTCCCACACATCCTGTGTCCAAACACCTTAGGTTTTGGCAGGGCGAAAAGAACCCTCACCCAGATGTGCACGGCTTGTATAAAAAACGCCTAGATTGGAGAGCACTCAACTCCATGCGAAAGGAAGATAGAGAAAAGTTGGTGATTCAACGTGCCAACTTTTTCTATCACTGTTTTCCACTAACCCATTCCGTTCCTGGAGCCGTCTGGTTCCAGATTTTTGAAACACGAATAAAAGCTGCGGAGGCTGGAGATTTGGGCAAGGAAGGATCTGACCGACCAGAAAGAATGCCACTCGAGTATGCTTTTAACATTTTTAATTTTGTTTTTAACTAACGTCATTTTTAGTATTTTGAACGCAAAATACGAAAGAAGTAATGATGACCGGTCGTATTTTAATTATCAACACGTAGAAGGACCAAAGCTTAAACCCGAACAAGTCGAAAAAGGCTTTCGAGAGACCATTGCGAAGTTTGAGGAAACTGAGCTCTGTAGACGATTCGAAAGCTTTTTCGAGGAACTTTGCAAAGATGTAAAGTTTGACAAGATTGTTGCCTTTGGAACTGGCCCAATCGCTGCAATCGACGCCGGAAGTTCATCATTTCGAGTAAGAAACCAGGTTCAGCATGCAAGCATGTTAACAATTCGACGAGTCTGGGAGCGCTACCACCCAGGAAAGAGACTTTCAATCTACCTCCAAGATCCTGCGTACAACGAACGTTGCGTAGAAGTTGCAGACAAATACAACATGCAAATCGTCGATGGTGATTTTGGTCATCAAATGGGCTGGCTCAAAATTGACAAATCGACCTTGGTTATGGCATTGAATTGCACCTTCCCTGTTGCACGACTGGTGTCTGAAATTGTAAGGCCAGCAGCTCTGTACTTCGGGAAGGCGGAAGTAAAGGAGTTTACTGAATTCAAAAAAGATGATGGGAACCGGGTGTTCTCGTCCCCACTCGCACTTCCTGGCGGAGGCGTTGTTGATCTTCCAGGCTTGGGAGCGTAAGTCACAAGAATTCCACTGTGTTTGGTTCAATAATCTAACGTGAATCGTCTTAGAACTCAGCCATCTTGGCCATCATTTGAAACAGAGTATAGTGAGAAGTTACTTAATGTCGAGGGACTATCTGTTGGGGAAGAGACAGATCCTATCCGTACAAAACCGACATTCGAAGGATACAAGGGTTTCAGTCATCTCGGAGCTAACCCTATATTGTATATTCGAAAGTAGGGATTGGAAAAGTCCCAGAGACTATTGTACATTATCAATTTCTTAACACGTTGTTTTTAGCATAATATGCTTGGAGGGAGTAAAGAGGACTAGGTAGACCAAAAAAATTGCATGGCTTTTCATAAACATTAGCTTATTCATACACTGCTTATTCGTGAGAGAAAAACTGACCGGAATTGACCACTAATGAAGCTCTTCAATGATTCAATTGTTCCATTTCAATTCAGAGAATTAAAAGTCTAAATAGTATAATAATTGGAAAAGTATTCAAGGATTTATTTCATACTATTGACTATTGTAAGTTTAGTAATCAAGCACTGCGTGATTTGATTGTTGTAGATCTAACCCTCGGAAAAACTCTGGGCTTCCGAGACAGTTTTCCGAGACATGTCAGGAAAGTTCAACTGACATCAACACGAAGAAACCTCGTTCTAAAAAAAAAGCTCACGCGGAAATATCGACATCGTGATCATAGACTCACACATTGATCACCCCCAAAATAAATCCCATAAATAATCTCCCTCTTCCATTCGGTACGAGCTCTCGTCAAGCTCGATTCTCTCTGTCATGTCCAAAACTACCTTAGCAATTATAGCAGGCGTTTCTGCAGCCACAGGCGCCGGTATCACCGCCGCCATGTATTCCACACGATCTGAAAAGAAAACCCAAGCAGCAGCAAGCTCAACAGCAGTCACAGCATCCTCTACTTCTTCTGCGCATTCGCCAGTACCTCTCCCAATCGGCCAATCCATGATCAAAGATGTCATAGCACCAGTCGACCCCGCAGGTCTTTTTCAATACGGATTTCCAGGACCCGTCGCAGATCTAGCGACGAGAAATGCGTTAATATCTTCATTCGATCGAAGACTTCGAAATCCTTCTTGGGTTGCAGAACATATAACTCCCGCCTCACTTGCAACTCAAAACGGCGATCGCAAACATTCCTATTTTGTCGAAGACCCCTCTGTCCCCGAAAAATTTCGCGGTAAATTGAAGGACTATGTTCGATCTGGTTACGATCGCGGACACCAAGTACCTGCCGCAGACGCAAAATGGAGTCAAGAAGCCATGAACGATACCTTTTTCCTCACAAACATGTGTCCGCAAGTAGGAGAAGGATTCAACCGCGATTACTGGGCGCATTTTGAGGATTTTTGTCGCAGACTTACGACTCGATACCCAAGTGTGAGAATCGTTACTGGACCTTTGTATTTGCCGAAACGGGATCCAGCGGATGGGAAATGGAGGGTTACTTATGAGGTTATTGGAAATCCACCAAATATTGCTGTACCGACACATTTCTACAAGGTTATCTTTGCGGAAGATGGTACTACAGCAGGTCCAGTAGCAGTTGGTGCGTTTGTGTTACCTAATGCGAGGATACCTAATGAGAAGCCGTTGACGGATTTTGAGGTACCTGTTGAGATGGTGGAGAGGGCTAGTGGGTTGGAATTCATGACGAAGTTGCCGGCGCAGAGGAGGAAGAGATTGTGTGATGACATGATGTGTGCGTTAGTTATTAAAGATTACTCGGATAGACAGAAGGCATTTGCAAAGGATAGTGCACCAAGGAGGACGAGTCCAAGACACACTTCTTAGATTTGGCATGTAATGGGCGGGGATTTGCAGCATATATACAGCATCGGCGAGCATTTCTGGTGGGATTGCATAGCATGGCGTTTGCTTTTTCTAAGAATAGTTTTCTTTTTTCGAATTTGCGTTGCTATTCATATACCATAACATTAATACCCTTCAATTGCATCACCAAGCAGATTCAAACTTTAATAAGAAACACATCTCGCTTGTTCTCGCGAGTGCATATATGTGAATAAGGACAATTCAAAAATTATCAATGTGACTACATTACAATTCGCCCAAACGCCCCATGCTTCATTTCGCCCGAAAATGCTATATTCTGGTATACAGTCCGAGTTTCACTCCCCAGAGATCAAATACCCACTATCGTGCTTGTCTAAATTTTCCCTGTCTTTGCATCGCTTGTAAACTTTCTTCTTGGCTTGGCAACGGTCCCCGCTTTCTAATTCCACCGCTACCACTTGATAGATCTGTACTATCTAAACCAGGTATTGGCATACCAGGAGGGGGTGGGGGAACAACGAAGCCAGGTGGGAGTTGAAAATTTGGTGGGAGCATTGGTGGTGGGGGTGGCATGCCTGGTGCCCCTGGAGGAGGCAAACCAGCCTTCATCATAATTGCCAAGGTATTGACATCTATATTTCCAGGTAAAGGTGGAGGTGGCATATTACCTCCGCTGAGCATAGGAGGAGGTGGAGGTGGGGGAACACGATTCATACCGGGGATAATTCCCATACCAGGTAATGGCAGACCGGGTATTCCTGTGGCGAAACCGGGTACCTTCGCAGGCATTTTCTGATCGACTAATCCTTCCATTTCGTCTTCAGCTTCTTGATCTTCTTCCTCTTGACGTTGGCGTCGCCCGCCGCGACGATCATAGGTTCCTTGCGCCTCGGCAGCTGAGTCACCAATATGATAGCGGTCTTTGAATGTATCTGTGTCACCAGGACGTACACGTGTCCAGAATCGAGTGATTCGATCATTGGAACCTGAAGCTAAGATGTGACCGAGAGGATGCCAATCAAGTGACCAGATAGCGAATTCATGAGCGTAGGTTAATTTATGAGCTGGATAGATGGTTTGAGCCGGTGTAGTAGTGGGGTCTGGACTATCGTAAGGAGCTATGGAAGGCTCCGTTCCAGCAGGATTGTTTGGTTCATCTAGGAGGTAGTGGAAAAGAGACCCATCAGCACCGCCAGTGCTCAAAAGTGAAGGGTGAATTGGATGCCATGCCAGGGTAGAAATGTCTTTATCATGGCCTTTGAGCAGACATACATCGCGCATCATTCGCAAGTCGAATACTCGTGCGGTTTGGTCTCGAGCTGAAGTGGCTAAGCAGTGGCCTCGTACTGGTTCAAAAACTGTTTTTGTGATTGTATTCTTATGTCCATGGAGAGTCGTCAGACACCGGCCACTGCGCGGATCCCATAACTTGACAAGATGATCTTTTGATCCAGAAACGAGTAATCCTTTAGTCGGATGCCAGTCAACACTTTTCGCGTCCCATCCATGTCCAGAGAGAATAGACTCCTCAACACCGCCAGCAAAATCAAAAATCTTTAGCTTAGAGTCATCCGAGGCCGTGACAAACTTTGAGTCGTTTGGACTAAATGCAAGGTCTCTTATAGGGTCATCATGTCCTTGAATGACTTTGACGTTGTTGAAATTCGGTTGCCAGTATTTGATCACTCCATCATGATCAGCTGATATCAACCAGTCATCGCTATGAGAATAAGACAAAGCGCGAATAGCAACATCATGTGCTTGCATAATTGTCTCGAAGTTGAAACCTGCGCCATTCCATAGAGTAAATTCTCCACTACTGGAGGCTGTGAGTAATCGTCGACCTTCTGGTGTCCATCTTACCACATTCACAGGGTGCTTGATTTTGTTGAGTGACGAATGTAAATGCCTCCCTGGAATCGAATCTGCTGCATTATGAATTCTTGCCAGCGGTGGTAACATCTATAAATAATTAGACCAAAAGCATCAAAATTAGCCTATGCGACTGGTTTAAGAATACTCACATCTATCATGTAACTTGGACTGGGTCTTTCCATTTCACCTTGGTAACCACCTTTATACCTTGGCTGACGATTACGCATCCAATGAACCATAGTAGAGCTATAATCCGTGACAGGACCTATAGAGAATTAGTAAATCAAGAGTTTCCAAGAAACGAGAAGATATAGATGAGCTTCCCAGCAGCCTGCCCTAATCGACAATTTAAAAAATTAAAGTATTTTACTTACGACGACCTCTCCCTCTCACGAAGTCCCTTTCACCACTCCCCTCTTCCTGTCCTCCATCATCTCTTCTTCCTCTTCCTCTTCCTTCCCTTTCTCGATCCCGTCCACCTCCATACTCTCGAGGTTCGTATGCCATTTTTATCAGTGCATCATTTCCTTCAATAATATTTGATCAAACGACTACTTTCTTCTTCGGCGAGGTCCGTTGAGTTTGATTCAGGATCATGTGTTTGGAACTTTCGAAGACTAGATGAATAAATAAAGCTCAGTCAAAGAGGTCATGCTTTCAGAAAATGGTCGCGACTTTGACATTTGATGAACAAGGATTCGCGATGACACGGAACGGAACAATGATTTATCGATGAGCCTGCTTAGTAATCAGACTTGTAGCCTCTGATGCCTCCACATGGACGATAAGGGCGATAAGGGCAAGGCTCATGAGAAAGATAGGTAACTTGGAATGCCATTGCCGTTCTTAAGGTACGGTCGGTGTCTTCACCAAATCATGTCTTGTGCTTGACTCTCTCCAGATCTGCCCAAATCTTCGAAGACTATGTTTGCTATTATTGATACTTGAAGATCTTGATAAATCCTCAATTTTCGACCGTCCTACACTTTTGTAAGACCGCTACTCGTATATCAATTAAGTTTGCGCCGCTACTCGACGGTCTTGGGTCTATCATCACTCATTCTCAGCCAATAATTGACCGCGGGAGGGGTTTGGCCAGTGAGGAATTTACTTTCATTACGGCTACAATAATTGTCTACGGTAAATATTCAAACACCTTTCCTTTCATTACACTCCCATTGATCAATTGATTCTCTTACTTTCACAGCTTCAAATATTATTCAAGTTATCGGGTAATTGCGCATATTGCTTGTTCATCCTTGTGCTTTCCCCTTGGTATCTCCCTTCGTTCTCTTGGAACATTGTTTATCAATCATTCCAGAGATCCATTCATTACTCGGTACATGTTCAAATACTAGCAGCTCGAATTTGAATACGGCTCTATGCGATCTTCGCAATGATGACCTCTGAAAATGCCACAGTAACTGGGACGGAGAGTGTGGCAGATATTTCTTCAACCATCAGGCGTTCTACACTTTCACATGTCAATGGTGCACACGGAAAGAAGAGGGCCAACATCAGCATCGCGGATTTCCCAAAACCTCTCACACAACAACATACGTCCGATTCACTTCGAAAATTTACACAAAAGAAGTATAGACATGTCGCTGCTGTTCATTCTCAACCTCGAACATCATGTCTTAGCCATGAAAGCGATGCGGCACCTAGCTTTCTTGGATTTAGAAATTTGATGGTGCTTGTTTTACTAATCTCAAATCTGCGATTGATGTTGGAAAATATTCGAAAGGTATATCTCCTCCCAGTCATATATTTCTCAATTGAAAGAAGAATCGGTTGCTTAAGAGGGGAAAGAGGGATCACGAAGTTTAGTCTGAATACCTCGTTTCTCTGCATATTTGACAACGCCGATGTTATGATTTTTAGCTTAGCTTTCACATTCAAACCTTGGCTTCATCGAATGCAGCTAACAATTCTTGATAGTATGGAGTTTTTGATATGTTTAAGATGTCACGATTATCGCAGACAAGATCTCATTCTAGGGGCTGCTCTTTACTTTATAATTCCATGCCATCTTTTTGTCGCCTACGTTGTCGAACTCGCCGCCGCGCAACAAGCAAGAGCTTCACTAAAGGGAAGCAAAAAGAGAGCTGGAATAGCGACGCCAGGTGGTAGCTATATTGCTACCCAGGCCGAACATGAGAAGTTCCATTCAACTTGGAAAGTAATAGCTTGGATACACGGACTGAACATAACGCTCTGTTTACTCATCACATCCATAATTGTCTACTTCTTCATACATCATCCCCTTATAGGCACAATAACCGAGGCACACGCAATCATTGTCTGGTTGAAAACGTATAGTTATGCATTCACCTGCCGCGATCTTCGACATGCTTATCTCCACCCCTCTAGTAAAGAGGAAGATGCATTGCCAGAAATATACAACAAATGTCCCTACCCACAGAATATCACGCTGAAGAACTTGACATACTTTTGGTGGGTTCCAACATTGGTTTACCAACCCGTTTATCCTCGGACAAACAAGATTAGATGGGTTTTTGTAGGTAAGAGGTTGGCAGAAGTTTTTGGTCTCAGTATTTTCATATGGGTTGCTAGCGCACAGTATGCGGCCCCTGTTCTTCAGAACTCCTTAGATAAGATGGCATCTCTAGATCTTCCTTCTATCCTCGAACGATTGATGAAGTTGTCTACGATATCTCTGGTCATATGGCTAGCAGGATTCTTCGCGTTATTCCAATCTTTTTTGAACGTTCTTGCAGAGGTCACAACATTTGGGGATAGGAACTTCTATGATGATTGGTGGAACTCGCCCAGCGTGGGAACATATTGGAGAACTTGGAACAAGCCTGTTTATCAATTCATGAAACGACATGTTTTCTCACCCCTCGTAGGCAGAGGCTGGAGTCCATACTCAGCGAGTGTTGCGGTATTTACATTCTCCGCTATTCTCCACGAATTGATGGTGGGCGTACCGACACATAACATGATTGGTAGGCTCACAGTGTGATTTTATGCTGTCATCTGCTAACAATCTTTAGGCGTTGCATTCATTGGCATGATGGCACAGCTACCACTCATTGCTATCACGACCCCGTTAGAGAAAATGAACGGCATAAATGGCAAGATTATCGGAAACTGTATCTTTTGGGTATCTTTCACCCTGGTTGGACAACCTCTTGCTGCATTACTTTACTTCTTCGCGTGGCAAGCTAAATACGGGAGTGTTAGCAAGCAGGTCAAATAATGGCAGTCCATATCACAGAAATGTTGGCTATTTTAACAGCGCCTTACTGCAGTCTTTAGAAACAAGTAGTATGGAAATTCTATGAGCCTGGCGACTCCCAGCACGGGTAACTACTACACTTAATCTTTCTGTAGCAATTAGACACAAAAATAGAGAAGCCACAATGCCTGGCTATCATTAATATGGTACGGAACTTTTGTCCCAAAATACTAGTGGTGAACAAACATTCCCTTGGAACTACCCAGTCGATGCAAGCCATAGAATCATTCAATGTTCCCTTACAAGATCAATGGATTCCAAGGTTCGCCCACTTTCCATTTCTCTGAACGCGATCGGCGAGTGACGCAAAATACAGGAAACCCTCCAAAGATTGATATACTACCATCCCATGCGTTTCCGAGCATACAACTGATTTTTCACATCCAATTTGAACATGATTAAATTTCAAGATTTGCATGCATTAGGTACACTGTAAATCTAGATGAAAGGTATTCCCACCCACGAGACCTGCCTATACTGCACATAATCATCCCCAAAGAACTTAATCAACAAAGCCTCTTCCCCCTTAATTCTCCTATTGAAAAACATCCACAGAACAAGCGTATATCCCCAAAAACAATAGAAATTTCCCAAGACCATTTGTGTACCCAATCCCCACCAAAAGAAACCAAAATACGAGGGATGGCGTAACCATGCGTATAAACCAGTTGTGACGAGTGTATGTGAACGCGACCGAGTGAACTGAACAATGTGATTGAAACTCCTACCAGCCTGTACCATGGCTACGGATCGAATCGTTTGGCCTAGGATTATGAGGATGAGACCGAGAACGAGAATCGAGTTTTGGGATCGGGAACTGAACAAGGATATGGAAGGGGGAAATTGGAGACCAAAGATGCGGTATGAAGATCCATGGGGGAAAAATGTATTGGTGATGAGAAATTCGGTGACGGCAGCGCTGTGCGCAATGTTGTATGCAGAACCGTTGCCACTGAAGAGGAATGAGGAGATAGATGCTTCCGGGGTATTGTATCTCGCCGTGGTCCAAAACTCGAGGAAATGGAAGATTGCCAGAGAGGAGATGAAGAAGGGGATGCGCCAGAATATCGAATTGGTAACGAAGAAGAGGTAGAAGGTAGCGGCCATAGAAATCGTAAGGACAATACCAACGAGGAAAGATCGCAAAGCAATTCCAGACAGAGATTTAGGTTGACCGGGAAAGAATTGCTTCTCGAACTGAGTGATGGCTTCGTCGATGCTGGGTATCTCTGCGAATTGTTCTCGATTGGGTCCGACTCGCGCTCGAGGGGCAACACCGCCGTTCTGTATTACGTCCCATGGACGTCGACGAGCTGCGCCGGGTATGCTCGCTGTGCTCTTTAATTGTTCGGGTGAGCTATGCGCTGACGCTGATCCACGAATGGCATTAGTAGTATCATCTGTAGACATGATTATGATAGCAATAATCACAAAGATACTAGTCGCAAACAATCAAATGAGTGCAATGGAAGCTTGAAGTTTGATGCTTGATGCTTGGTGGTTAATTCAATATATTTCAGGCTGGGTTGAGTAATATATATAAGCACGGAGATCCAGTATAATAACTAAACAGAAACGAAATTACGAAAAATCATAAGAAATGGGGACAATCAAATACGATTCCCTTTATTCGTACATAACCTTTTTAAATGTTTCTTCATATTGTCCTTGGTGAAGAATGAGATGAGATTTTGAGGGGGGTTTGTTACCTTTTTCTTAAAGGTTCTTGGAAACCTCGATATCCATTGGTACTTCCTAGTCAGCTTAACAAAGAAGCATGTGACAACATTCCGTACAACAAAGTCTCACTCACTACCTAGGTATCCTGACCGCTCAAATAGCTCTAGATATTTTTCAGATATAATCTACCTACCTGGGTGATAGTCATTGAATATTCAGTAGAGAATTGAATGCTTGAATTATGTGTACCTATCTAGTTACTGTCCATTATGCTTTGTGTATAAACTCAGTTGAAGCTCAATGCCTAGGTACTCGAGTATTCCCGAGGTCTCCTTTTCTATGAAATAGCTAAACCCCCTCTTTCAGCCACCCCCACCATGATCTCGTATCTTCCGAGGACCGAGTCCCGTAAGTAGGTAGATCAGGAAGGTATTCCGCATACGAAGTGCTGGGAAAGCTTCCAAATGTCAGGCAAAGTGGAGCTGTTGGTTTAGGTGAATATACGAGGTAGAGGCCTCGGAGCCTCGGCAGTAAGAAAGCTAAAAGACATGACATGCTCAGTTAAGATTCCAGTTTTGACGGATTTCATCTCTGACCCAAAAACCCCATCATTTGAATATCCTTTGACTACCTGTGAATACCACACTTCCACATCATAACCTAATCATGGAGGCCATTGACCAAGTTGAAAATGAATCTAAGATGCGAAACGGGGAGCTCTATTATGCATTCGCACCAAACCTCATGGAAAAGCGAAATAGGTAAGAGACAAACAGGAATAAATCACCCATCAGATACTCCATTGAACAGAGTCACTTCCTTGAATACAGCTGATAATTGATCTTCTATAAGATGTCATTGGGCTTGTAAAAGATTCAACAATGCCGCTGATGCCCCAAGACGAAAGCTGGTAGAGATGTGGAGAGAGTAGGCATTCATTTCTAGCTGAGTGGCAATGCGAAACCTAACAATACTAGTATCATCAATGACAAGACTCCTCTTCCTCCAGTCGGAGCCACAGATGAAGAAGACTTCCTTATTCTAAGAGATGAACCATATATTGATGGCCCGATCAATGTAGACTATGGAATCAATCTGAGGTAGGCCTCAAGCTGTAAAACCGCATTCTGAGAAAGTACTAATCCTCCACAGGATTGGCAAAGGAGTCTACATCAACTTTAACTGCGTATTTCTCGATACCTGCCTAATCACAATAGGAGCTCGTACTCTAATTGGGCCAGGCTGTTCGTTCTATGCTGCCACGCATCCATTGGATCCTTTCCTTCGCAATGGTGTTTATGGCCCGGAGCTTGGGGCACCCATAACAATTGGAGAAGACTGCGTACGTATCTCTGACAGTGTTTACGCGATATCGATAACATTCATCAGCTCAATCCCTGTGTACTATTGATAAGTATCATCGATGCTAACAGTTTCCCAGTGGTTCGGAGGCGGCGTTACAGTTTGCCCTGGAGTAACCATCGGTCGAGGTTGTACCATGGGTGCTGGGAGTGTTGTGACGAAAGATGTTCCCGATTTCCATGTCGTAGCTGGCAATCCAGCGAAAATCATCAAAAAGATCGAGCCGAAAGAACAGGATCCAAATCTCAAGTCCTGATTGCTCAGAGATGGATAGAGCTCCCGCTCACGATTACTTTCATCTCCCAAAAGATATATGTATCATTAAAATATATGGTGCCTCATAGACCACCCTGTATTGAGAAAGAAGATATAATCAAGACTAAAACATTGATCAATGCCCATATGAACGGAATCCATGTAGACATCTGAAAATATCCCGCATTGTAAATGGCACCGAGTCTAGGATTGACAAATTAGCAAGAATAAGAAAACTCCTACGTGAATCACGAGACAATACTCACATCAATCCAACTAAACTTCCTGCCAACAAGGCTTCAATTCCACCTATTAAAGCGTACACCAGTGGTATGATCCAAGCATATTGCCAGGCGTTTTTCCCCTTTCCCAATTGCATTGCAACGGCACAAACAGCTGCGGCAATATGCGTGATTCCGTACGCAATGAGTGTCCATAGTAAAGTGAATCGCCAAATGTCATGAGCATAGTATAGGTAATTTGGGACTCCAGGTTTGGCATGGAGAGGCCAGTAGAGTGATGGAAACGGCGGCGTGGAATAGTCAAGAGGCGCCGGATTATCGATCCGAGTACTGCAAACTTCAATTAGCATAACTATTCTTTTGAATGTCCTAGTGCGACTCACTTCAAAGGGGCATAATTTATTGGGGCGAAAAGCCCATCGTAAGGGAACGGGATGTATGGAAGCTGTAGTCGTTAACGCGATGCGACAGTGCAGTGTAACTCTAGAAATTATACTTTACATTTAGCCTTGTGAACCCTTCAGTGCGCAACACAAGGCTGAATTAATAAACCTCGGCTGTTGAACTCCATTCCATCATTAACACATCAGCCATCACATATCACCCTTAATAATTGAATATTATATCTCAATACGAGCATCACAATGATTTGAGGTCCTGCCAAAATAATTAGAGTAGTTCAAGATGCCGGCAGATAGACTTCTTACGACTGTGTTACGCGCATACCAAGGCGTGCCTGACCCAGCCCAAACTGACAGAATCCTTGGGACAACTACCTCTCTCCTTACCACTCTTACGAATCCTTTGAACATAAGCCTTCTAACATCGCATCTTCTTACCGCGCCTGCTATATGGAACAATACCGATGGTCTACGAATTTGCCTCCGAATCATCAGTGTCTTCAATACTGCTGCCATTACGGTGTGCAAAAACGAAGTAGAAAGTCGTAACGAGCATCCACCGTACGATGCATACCAACCTCGGAAAGGAGGCGGGATTGGTTCTGATGATTGGGCTCGATCAGTGATCAAAGGTGCGGATGAAAGGTCGCCAAGATGGCAGCATCTTCTCGTGATCGCTGGCGTGTTACTCGGCATGGAAAATGGAGGAAGGCATGGGCTCTCTAGCGGACTCAGGAGCACACTCGAGCGAGCATTAGTAACGGCGGCCAACTTAGCACTGGAGAATCCAATGAGAGATGGGATTCTTGCAGCAGAATCTATTGTGTTAGCTCTTAATCACGCATTCCCCCTGTTATCGGACGGAGTGCGTGCGGGTCTGAATTATGATAGTTTAGTCATGATAATGGTACGGTCGGTGACTGCGTTGGAGGGCTACCAGGACGGTATTTTCTTACAATACATCGATGCGGATGTCAAACAAGTACCGGGAGATAAGTTCGATTGGTCGTCCAAATCCTCCTCTTTTCTACAACTACAAAAGCAGGCATCAAGCCCGATACTGTCGTCCATGGGGCCACTTTCGAGGCTTATCGCATATGCAATCGAAAATATGACTAACTCTCTACTTGCGATAGAAATTCGAGAGCATCTTCTTTCGTTCTCGGGTAGACTTCTAGAAGGCTGGAAGAGGAACAAGTTATCGGAAATTGATCCATCTGAGGAGGCGACTTTTCTAACTCCCGAAACCCTCCAAATGACCGCACCAGTCTTGTGGCAGGTATTGAAGAGCGCTATGTTTGCTACCGTTGTTATTCTGCAAGGTCTTATGGGAAGAACTATGCTTGACCCTATCCTATCGACAAGACGCCTTGCCCCGATAGGAGCTTCGGAAACCCTTATCATTCTTGGGAACATTCACTTTATTTCGTCTCGACTTGGCTCGAATTCTTTTTCTGCATATGTGTTCGTTAATTTGTCTTCTATCGACATCCTATCTAATTATCCTCTCGAATCAAGAGAGCTTCTCAAAGCTATATACCCCACGCAAGCTGGCGAAATTCCAAATAACCCTTTGCAGCGCAATCATGATCTATTTTATCTTAATACTTGCGAGCACTTGACAAATATTCTTAGTCCGCCTGACAACGAAAGTTTGATCATTAGTGTGGCAGCCCCTTATCTCAATCCAACAGCTCATCCTGGCTTCTTGGAAATCTTTGAGGCTGCTCACAGCGCTGTTCTTGCAGTACTATCAGCTCCTCAGAACACAAATTTGACCGCTAGATTCATACCAACTTACGTTGATGCTCTCTTCAATTCCTTTCCGAACAATCTGTCGCCTAGACAATTCCGTTACGCATTTAAGTCTTTAATACACATTACTACTCCGCCTACCTACACCACTGTCGACCGCGGAGGCCAATGCTAGCCCGAGACCCTTCTAGAAAATGCTCCATCACCGTGCAACTCATGCGCTACATCGCCCACTACCACAATCTGGTATATACAAGAGACACCGCCAGCCAACAAGATAGTCAGGCGCCTCTCTCTGAACAGGCATACATCATGCTCACACTACTTGATGCATTACCCAATCTTCCCCTCGATGCTCTACAGGCATGGCTACCAATATCAGCCGATCTTTTGAATTCCATCGAAGATAATTACATGAGAGAACGATGCAAAGTAAGGTTCTGGGAAATCTTGGAGAGTGGAGAGATGGACGTTGAGAGGAGCGCTTTATGTGTTGGATGGTGGAGTACACGGGGTGGTAGAGACCAGATACTATTTGGGAGGGAAACTCAAGATGTTGGGCCATACATGAGTGGGGGATTGGGAGAAATTAGAAGTAGACTGTGATTACTTTGGATATGGCAGTCAAAATGCTGATGATGCTATGAAGATATATGAGGTGATAGTTATATTAATGGAACGGTAGCAAGGGGCGAAATTGAATGATAATAATTTTGGGACGGAAGAGAATAAAATGGATCAATCCACTGCCTCCTTTCCTCTAGACTTGATTTTATTGGTCTTGTCAATGTTTGAAATTACTTTTCACGTTCAGACATCAACACATCTAACTTTATTTCAAATATAGTTGTTAATACCCATACTACTTCCAACCTTGATGCCAATGAAATGAAGGGGCTTAGCCGAGCATCCCCCAAGTACTGTACACTTATTAAAATCGCGCCATATTCGTGACTACTTTGTACTTATCTAACAAGGTAATGCATTTCAAGATTTCAAACATTCCTCTTTGAAAAAGATCAACTACCTGATATCTTGTTGCCCCATTCCATGAAGTCTACTTTCCAATCAAGTATCCTATAAAATCACATCACATGTAAATTCTACGCTCAAAGAACTCCGACAAAATTGATGACGTAGGATCTATGCAAGTATTCTCTTCATGCAAGGTAGATCATAATCTTACATGACATATGTGAATAAATGTGCTTATGCATGCATAACAGTGGTGATGCGTTTTCTTGGGTAACGTATCGCGTCAAGATGCAGGGCTTTGTGGGATCAAATTAATTCTCCAAAAATAAGCCCCAGAAGCTTGATACAGGAAAAGAATCATTGTCGAGTGATAATAGACCGTGTCAAGTGAAATGCAAGTGCTATTCATGTATGCGATTGGGAAATGAAGATGCGCGAAAAGAAAATAGTCATTAATTCATATCTGCTAAAATTAAAAAAACAAACTATCATACAAGATAATATATCAATTTATCCATTCCCTCCTGATCAATCATTCCAGACCAAAAATTAGTAGTTATCACTTCCAGCAGCGGCACGCTTAGCCTCGCCCTTCTGGACCAAATTCTCCTTATGAAGCGCATGTCCAGCTTTCTCCATGATCTTGCCCATGGTAGAATCCCCTGTCTTTCCAGTGTTAGAGCCCGAGGTGTTGTCATAATCGCGCGAGCTAGTGTTGTCAGAAGAACCGTAGGTATTACCAGATCGGGTCTTGTTAGAATCATATGAGTCGGTGTTTCCACTGATGCCGCTGGATGTGTTCTCACGGTATCCGGTGCGAGAGGAGTCGAGAGTAGAGGTAGGGTTATCGCCATATCCAGAGGAGGTGTTGTTTCCATAGCCTGATCTCGAAGCGCTGTCTCCGTAGCCAGTAGAAGTCTTATCACCAAATCCAGAAGACGTATTGTCTCCATAGCCTGATCTTGAACTATCCAGACCAGTCGACTCGTCTCCTCCATATCCAGAACGAGAAGTAGAAGAGTTGCCAAGGCCTGAAGAGGTGTTATCTCCATAACCGGAGGAAGCTCCACCAATTCCCGATTCTTTAAGACCAGATGAAGTGTTTTCATCGTAGCCAGAGCGGGAGGCTGAAGTGTTTCCAAAGCCAGAAGAGGCATTGTCACCTAATCCTGAAGTTCGCTCACTTCTACCAGTTCCGAAGTTATTAGCGTCATCACCGAGATCTCCTCCATACTTGGAGTTGCTCGAGCCGAACTCGTTGTCTCTCAGTCCTCCCTATGTCATATCAGCAATAGTCGAAAAAGACATTGTAAGTGTAACTAACAGAGTTTCCGGTGTTGAAACCACGGCTTTCTTGAGTAGAAGATCCTCCATATGCTCCAGAATCCTGATCGTCAAATGTGCCGGTGCCTCCAACGCCTCGGGCGCTGGTGGTATTGCCGCGGCTCTCGTTCCCAAAACCACCTGTGGTATTTGCGAAGGAATCATCAGCGCTAGAAGGGGCACCGCGGCGGCCAGTGGTGTCGTAGGAATCGTCGTTATTGTATGTAGACATTTTCAAATTGCTTTGTTTTTGTTGCTGAGTTTTTATGTAGAAGCTAGTTGTGAGATGGAATGTTTGTTTGATACGCAGAAAATCGGAGAGTTATTAGAAGGTTACTTATAACATTTCGTCGATGAGCTAACGTGTCATAAGATGATCTAATTGAAGGGTAGTACCGGATGCCTACTAGGCTACCTCAAAGAAAGACCCTGGGAGCTTGGAAGAGTTGGCATACATGATAGACATCAACTGGAATGGTAAAACAAGGATAGATCGTTCCAATAGCCACGTGCTTTCAGCCGAATGCAGCAATGACAGTACCAAGAAAACAAGATCGGTAACCCGTTTTCACTCTAGTAGACAATATCACGATCTGAATTTACATCTCTCTACCCATGTCGGAGTGAAAGAACACCAGAAGAATGCATCATCATTGTCGAACCGGATCAAAACAGGTTACGTCTGTGGCGGTGCTGGTAATAAAAGCGAAGAACTTGGTCTGACCAATAAAATAGTTTGGAACAACAACATGGGTGGAATGAGAATACAAAAAATGCGGGGTAAAGTCCACTTAACCAGCCACAAATCATCAACATGTCACTTAAAAACAAGCTTTCCTGCTGGCTGTATCCGTAACTAGTGAGATGTAATCACATCCATGAATTTATTCAAAAGGACTCAACGGAAGAAAGAGGCTTGCCAGTCATGACTTGAGTACTGATCAAAGGGGAGGCTGATCAAGATCCAGTTTCATTCATGTACTGGCTAGAACGTTCGACCATACTCCATGCAACCATGACGCCAAAACCCTTCGCCCTCTATAGTACATATCCGAATCTCGTCCGGAAGAATTAATTTCCAGATTGCACCCCTTCATTGTGATGCACAATGACTCCATCATCTCACGTATTTGCTACAACACGTTAGTCTCGTTTGATTGCTTGCTACCATTGCCGCTGGGTTGAGATTCAAACATCCAAACATACCTCATAAACTTCTTATGGAAATCGGATCGTAGCAAGTCCTTAGATTTGGGTCAGTATTCTGTGATAATACTTTCATGACTGGTACAACTTACATTGACGAATTCTTTTTTCCCTTTATCTTCGGTTCCACGAGCTTGATTTTTGAAAATGACATCATCGTCCCATCTAATAATCTTGAGTTAGTAAATACAGCATGTGAAACTAGTCCACACCTAACATACCGCCTTTTAACATTGAAGTCAGATTTGGCATTTAACAATGGGTTGCCAAGAGCGATATCATGCTCTCGCTCCGCTTCTTCAGCCGCTAGTCTTTCTCGTTCCTATTAGAGCATCATAATTAGTGGTAGATTTGGCAGTTTTGAAAAGCTTAATCTGACCTCTTGTTCTCGTTTCTCGGCACGCTCGCGCTTAATCTTTTCAAGTTCCCGTTGAAGCTCCGCAGTCTCGTCTTCGTCGTCGTCACTAACACCATGTGAGCCTTTTTTCAAGAGGGTTGTAATTAATCGGCGAACCTGTCATCATCACTACTATCACTCTCTCCAGCATCGTCTGAGTCGGCATCTATATCTCGAGTTTCTTCCAGAATGCGCCGCCTCTTTGCTTCTGTGTCTTCATCGTCCTCCACGGAGCCATTCTCGAGTTGTCTTTTAGATGTGTTTGTAGATGACTGTACATCTTCGATTGCAGCGCTTGACCCGCCATTCTTTTTAGCGAAATGCGCTGCTTCTGCTTGTAATAATTCTGCTCGGAGGTCTCTGACTTCGGCTGCTGCATCGCCTCCCTGTCCTGGCTTTCTATAACTCAATTAATCTCAAGTTTCCTAAACAAAAATGACGAGGGTTTGTACCGGAATTTCAGTTGTGTGTGAGCTGGAAGTAATCTTTGATGGTAGGCCGGGCCTCGTTGTGCTTCTTTTCCCACTGCCTATTTTCCATGAGAAACATTCTCTACAATTCGCAATGTAATTTCACTTACTGGGTCGAAGGTAGGTCTATGTGCTGGAAGATTCGTTAGTAATTCCCAAGTAAAAATAACAATATTGTCCAAGAGGACTTACCGGTAGTCATCTTTTTTGCTGTGGAAAATGTAAATCAATGTTTGAGAAAAGATAAGGTGAAGGCCAGACGCGATAGACTACCTACATTTTGAAGATGCCAAATAAGGCTACGCTAGTCTAATCAAAGCTCACCGCCTTAGAGTTTCCGGCAAAAAGAAATCTTGGGGAATAATGTAACCCGCGCAACCATTCAGCGTGTATTTTCAAGTCAATAAGTAATTCGAGATGCCTCGAGAAGTTGAGCCTTCTATCAATGAAAAGCAGTTCTTTTCGAAGGCTCTCAAAGAAAGCTTGAGAATTGATGGAAGAAGTTTTGATCAATTTCGAGCTATAGAGTTAGACTTTGGAGATGAATATGGTGTTGCAGATGTGAGGTTAGGAAAGACAAGGTAAGAGATGCGATTACAGGAGATACACATTCAAAGCGTCTTTTAAATATTTGTTTCGAACGAGATCTTCTCAAGGGTCATTATTAATGCTGATAATTCTAGGGTTCTCGTCAATATTACAGCTGAAGTAACAAGTCCATTCCCGGACCGTCCCTTTGATGGCATCTTCACCATCACAACGGAACTTTCACCTATGGCTTCACCCGCTTTCGAAACTAACCGTCCGACCGAGCAAGAAGTATTGCTCTCTCGCCTTCTCGAGAAGACCTTGCGACGTTCTGCAGCCCTCGATACCGAATCTCTTTGTCTCATCGCTGGTCAGAAATGCTGGTCAGTTCGAGCAGATGTTCACATTCTATCACACGACGGGAATCTTATTGATGCGTCCTGTATTGCTATAATAGCTGCATTACAACACTTTAGAAAACCAGATACAAGCACGGAAGGAGAAACGGTGACTGTCTACACTCTAGCAGAGCGAGAACCTGTGCCTTTGAGTCTGTTACATTTCCCACTCTGTGTGACATTTTCATTTTATGGAAAGGGTCAAGAACAGACTAGATTGGTTGATACGACATTAATGGAGGAACAGTTAAGAGAGGGTAGTTGCACGATCAGTATGAATCGTCACGGAGAAGTTTGTCAAATTGCCAAGCTTGGTGGTATAGCAGTCGATGCCGTGGAATTGTTACAATGTACGAATATTGCGCTAGAGAAGGTCAAGGATATATCTACATATATCACGAAGAGGTTGCAAGAAGATTCGAAGAAAAGAGATAAAGGCGGACTCATGGCCGAGCTTAAAGCAGATAATTCAAGATGATGAAGATAAAGATTATGTCTAATATGTACGGCAGACTCTATGATAATCTCTTCTTCGAATCAACCTCCCAAACAGCCTGTAAAATAGGCATTGACCCCAGATGCTGATGCTCTATGAATTACACCAGGGTATTGGATATTCAAACTCCCCAAAATCAGATCAAGACGCCACCCAATTGATGCATATTCCTATTCCCGACGCTAAAACGCAACACAACAGTAAAATCAATTATGCCCATCTCTTTCTTCCAATTCTCGCATGTACTTGACAAAAGTCTTCTTGTGGGTCTGTAAGTGGTCAGGTCTCTTGCACGTTAACAAGTGTGTGGAGGTTGGATAAATCTTACCAATCCGGCATAACGGCCATCTTTCAGTACACAAACATATCTCAAGCCGAGTTTCACGAAACATTCGTAGACCAAATCCATTGGCGAACGAATATCTAAAGCTACCGGTGCCTGTTTTGATTCTTTGTCAGCAGTGGATTTGAGGATGAACAGAGGTTAAATTTTGCTTACAGGATCAATGTAAGGCGTGAAGTCAGTAGGATCAACATGCTCTTCTTCTTCAGAGTCATCATAGTTGCTGATGGTCGCCATGAGGCATAAGGTACCTGGCTCATTATCAAGATTATCGAGAGCGAATTCTAAATCGGGGGCCGGTATTAGACCGACAAGAACATCGTCTCTAATGATTGGCAATCCACCATCAACCTCACCGGCCTGATGCAAAATCTCCAGCTTCTGGCGCAGACTGCTAGCAGGTATCATGGGGGAGACTGAGATGTCAATAACTCTTTCTCTTCGAACACGGGGCACAATGTCTGCAAGATCGGAGGTAAATATCGGCTTATGCTTGTTATTAAGAAATGGGTAAGCGTTGAGGTTGGTCAATAAATCCTGGAAAAGTCAGTCTTTTCTCCGCACACTTATCATTAAATGATCTTACGTATATGCTCAGAGGTTCCATGAAATCTGCCGTCCATTTTGAGACCAAAACTGCGAGGGAAAATGGTAAAACATAATCGAGACTGCCCGTCAATTCAAAGAGAATGACTGCCAAAGTCACAGACAATCTGGTTACCCCACACATTGTAGAACCGGCAGCAATCAGAGCATAAACACCGGGAGTGATACAAGATGTTCCACTCTCATGAGCAGCGCAACTTTCAAAAATAGAAGCGTGGGGAAATTGCAATACAAGCCATTGCACCAAATGACCGACGATCCTGCCGAGTAGGCCGCCTACAACCATAGATGGAACATATATACCTGCAGGAACTTTCTGTAGCATTGTGTTAGTGGATGATCATGTTTTTGCTTATGAATAAGTTGGAGTGAAGGTGTAACAGTTGAACTTACGATGCCAAATGTAATAATCGTCAATAGGCCTTTGATGAAAAATGCAATAGTTAGCTGTCCAATGATGGGAAAAATCTCATCAATGCTACTGGGACAAAGGCCCATGCTATCTGATTTATCAGTATCGCAAGGGCTAGCCAAGTTGAACAACAATTTAGCTACTGGGATCTTAGTATACGGATTCCAATAGGAGACGAGGCCGGTTAGTAGAGCAACAAGCATGACCTCAAAAAGAGGCCACTTTTTTATAATCTCAATCTTCCTGAAAGACTGTGCCCAGGACCTAGATGCCTTGATGAATGTTGCACCGGTTATTCCGCCGAGGACACCGACCATGATGAAAGCGGCGAGTTCAAAAAAGTTCCAGTCCGTCAAGTAGCGAACTTCGAACATGACAATTTTGTTGGTGCCATAAGGATTGAGAAATTTTAACGTCAGTGCAGCTGTGATGCAGCAAAAGAAGGTTCGAAATAATGTTTTAGCTGGGAAAAAGTACGCCACTTCTTCCAAAGAAAAAAGAACACCGCCAATGGGGGCCCCAAAAGCTACCGCAACGCCTGCAGCTGCGGCCGCAGACAATACTTCTCTGCGTTTTCCGTCATTGTCATCGTATTTGGAGAACAAGCGACATGCGATATTGCCCACACAAGTTGCAATGTGTACAAAAGGACCCTCCTTTCCTAAACTTAGCCCGGATGCTACACTCAATATCAGAGCGAGCGTTTTGACGAGTAACGTCTTAAAGCCAAGAAAACCATGCAAAACGAAACCGCTAAGAATTACGCGAACTTCAGCCACTCCACTGCCGGCAGCCGAGTAGTAGATCATCGGAGCATTCGTCTCAGATCCCAGCGTGTTCTTCGGGCTGGTATTACCATCGACTGGCGCCTGGGAGTCATGTCGACTAAGAGCACCAAGGTTCTCATCCAACGTAGATAGTTGATATGTTGATGGTACGACCGTTTTGGTAGTCAAGGTCAAAAGACATGCTGCTGTTGCAAATGCGACTACAAGTAAAACGTAAATAAAGAACTCCGTTAACTCCTCACTGAAAAATGGTATTTCGACATAATTGGACCAAGATTTCCAAGCATCACATTTGTCTCCGTCAGGGCAACATCTCTATCAATAGTCAGTTTACTTGTTCCCCTGTGATTCATAGCAGAAAACGTATCACATTAATGTCGCCGAATTTGACTTGTAAGCTGTGGTGGGCAAGTTCAAAAGTCATGTCGAACAATGAACGGAGATGACGAAAATTGCACAAACCTTTTCACTCATGAAAAATCCGTCATGGCAATAACCATCTTTCCAGTCATAAATGGGAGTCTCCGAGACATCAACGGTATATGCTATCGTAGCTGTCACGAATCCAACTAGGGCACTTAGTATCCAACCTTGTGTGCCATCAAAAAACGCCTTGATTCGACCTCGAAAATCTTTCCTGCTTCGGAGCCCCTTCACTCGGTATGCATCCGCAATACTGTCATGAACCCAATCTGTTGATGTAAATTGATCATACCAAACTCTGTCGTCTGTGGTCGACATGTTTTTGGATTCTCGCATCTGGTCCTTGGGTCCATGTCTTTCTGAAGTTAATGCAGTGACTAAACGCTGGCCCCAAGATCCTGCACGGCTATGATGCCGACTACCTCTTAAACTACCTGTTAATGGTAAACAGTTAGCCCCATGCTCAGTACGATGGAGAAATCTGAAGGTTGATAAATGATGGTAAAATTGAAGACTTGCCAGAGAAACTATGATGACTTGGTAGATATGGGCGGTTGGTCTCCGCGGCGCCACCGAGACGTATACGAGAACGCCCCGCACTTTGGAGTAGAGGAGTTCGCTCGTCGGAAAGATTACTTGTTGATCTTTGAAGAGTCCTCATGGCTGTAGGTGAAGGTGGAGCTGACGAGTCCCTCGATTCAGGTGGAACATTCGACGACATTGTAAAGTCGACGCCAATGTGGCTCTTGCTAGAAGGTCTCATATCGGAAATGTCTCGGTGTGTCACCTAACACATCTCAGGAAGATAGACGTTCTGGAATGACGACACGGTACACAACGGCAGGAATTTGAAAGCTCGCATGCAAGAGCGGGAGATGCGAAATGCAAATGCGAAAGAAGGGAAAGAGGAAATGATAAATAAGAAGCTGAAGATGTACAAAAGATCGCCTCTCAATATTATCACCCACACCACTATTTGACGAAGACTAGAATTTTTCTTGGGATTCAAGAAGGAAGTTGGAGTGTTGGTGTTGGAAGTGGCTTTGACTTTTAGAGATCGGGAATTGCAGCAAATGCGGAATCAAAGAAGCATCAAATGAAATGTGGAGGAGACACAAGGGTCTTCGAGGCTAGTTGAACCCTGGAATTATTGTTATGAAGTTTGGAATTGATAGTAATATTGAGCGGTCGGACTTTCCTGCTGCAGATTGCTTTTGATGTGATAATGTCGTAATATTCAATGATCAAATCGGTGTAGGTGCGATGTGCAAGAATAGAAACTCCTGGGCCAAATGTCTGACGGGAAACATTAAATACAAGCAAACATGAAAAGATGAGTAGATCAATGTCACAGACGCATCCTGATCAGGAATTGCGGAACCAAAAGGCAGAAGTGGGAGTTGGAGTTTGAAGTTTGGAATAATTATGGGAAATGATACGGTTAATGCGCTTAAGATAGCTTTTGCAATGCACTCGATAAGGCTCGATAAGCTTCATGCCTACATAGTAGTAGTAAGTACTTAGGTAATACAGGTTTTCTTGGAAGCCGTCTTGAAAGTCACAAGCGCTGTGAAACATACGAAAGCATTCATTCCTGATGATCTACAATTTATATTCCGCAAGCCATAAAGCAAGTTGATGATAACCTCTCTTGGGCAATCCAACCAACCAGCATGATGAGTTATAAAACATTCAATAGTAAAATGACTCGTGAACTGCCGATAGTTACGAGAGGATGGATCATGAATAGCAGATGGCAGTAACATCAGCGTCGGCACCAGCATCAGCATCAGCATCAAAAAGGAAGTGTAGCTCATGACATCGGAAAAGGAGAGGATGTTCGATTTGGGTGTGCATACCATTCCGTCCACACCGAGACACCCAATAGTCGATAGCTAGCTGAGAGGGCCCTACTGGGTCGTCAGTATGACTTTTTGGAAAATCTATACTCCATGAGATACGAATGATGAAAGAGCTAATCTGTGGGGATGAAATCCACAGGGGAACATGGTAGCTGAGCGTACAAAGTAGGCAATCTCGCAATTCAACTCCCGCGAATATCGCGTCAAAATCCATGAGCCCATCATCCATCATCCACCCCATCCCGTCCCATCCCATCCCATCCCACTAGTAACTCAGAGAGCTACAAAGTTCTACCTATCTGGTACCTAAACTCCACAAAATATCCAGAATTGTCCACTTCGTGCGTCGCACATTACATCAATTGAGGAGAGACTACAGATCTGTCAGGGTGCATGTGAGGCTTTTAATCTCCATTGGGGTTTGTTTCGATTCCTACAACTGACTGAATACTAGACAGTCCGTTTCTCAAGATTGTTTCGTGAACTGCATATCGCTTTGCGTTTTCTTCCCCGGCTTCCTATTGCTGCACTGCTGCACTACTGCATTCCCGCTATTACAAATTGGACCTAGGCGAGGCGGCTATGAATTAATAGGGATAGAAAAAGAAAACCCCTCACTTAAACATTAGTCAACTTCTACCGTACCACATTCGACATGGCTTTCAGAGGATACCCCCAATTTATTTTATTGGGCGATTCCATCGTTCAATTCTCAAGTAATCTGCGGGATGGGTTTTCCTTTACTGCGGGTCTTGAAGAACGTGAGTTCACTGTTCCAAACTAGAACCCTCTGGTCACTCATTAATTCATTTTTAGATTGTTCTAGGCGGCTCCAGATAATAAACCATGGGTTGAGCGGGTATAATACCGATAATGCTCTTGAGATTCATCGGGACCTCGTCCCAGATCCAACCATTGCAAAGGTTCCCTATCTGGTACGTCAAAAACTACCATGTAGGACTCACAGATACCCCCCTTCAATCCTCGCCGTTATTGCTGCGAGACTATCCTTAGGTCATTTCTCTGTATACTGATAGAATGTGTTGTAAGCTCGTCCTGTTCGGTGCGAATGATGCATGCCTACCGGATGGTCCCACGGGTCAACATGTTCCATTGGAAAATTACAAGAAAAACATTGAGATCCTTCTCAAGAATTGGAGTTCCATAGCACAGCGCCCCACGATTTTACTAGTTACACCACCGCCTATCAACGAAGTTCAGCTTGAGGAACAAGATCTCCAGAAGGGGTATTCTTCTCTCACGCGGTCACAGGACCACACAGCCAAATATGCAGCTGCAGTTAGAGAAATCGCCGATGAATGGAAAGATCAAAATGTGGTATTGGTCGATCTATGGAAGGCTATTTTGGTTAAAGCAGTACAGATGAGTCCAGATAATACTGGCAACCTAGAAACGATTGGCACCAAACGTGCTGAGGATGATAAAGCTATGAGGGCACTCCTCACCGATGGTCTTCATCTTTCCAGTGACGGATATAGAGTGTTCTTGAACGAAGTTATACCATTGGTTGGAAAAGAGTGGAAAGAAGAGCCCTTGGATAGCCCCAGCTGGGTATTTCCACACGTAAGTATATCGTTTGTATTTCCTTTCAGTTCCTAGATGTGTTTCCTAAGTGGCTATATATCATTCCCTCAAGATATAGTGTTGATTATACTAACAATATGATAATAGTGGACAGTAGCTCCTAAATTCAGTCATTAAACGGATTGCATGCATGATGCATAGAAAGGTGTGTAGGTGGTCTTTTCTACGATAAAATATACATGCAGGGAAAACTTCCAGATTTCTTAGATCTGATAGAGACAGCTCACCTATTTATTAAGTATTGATTGATTGCCGGATGATTCGTTTCACGGGAAAGTACTCCAGTATTCAAAAAATCACAGTAACAACGAAAGTAGCTTAGCATACCTAGTAGTCAAAAGAATTGCAGAAGCTTCAACTACGAAATCGGCATAGAACCAGTACCCGGGATGATTGTTAGCTACCTACTAGATGATTGTCGAAATTTAATTTTTGAAATGCCTTGAGTGAGAAGTTCCTAATATACATAGCTCATATTGCACAAGCAACACCTTTGTATAACATGTAATAGACTGTCAGGGCACTTAACGCCGAAAATGCATGAACACCACTTAAGGTTAGCTACCCTTGTGATTTTAATAGGGTTACCGCAACCAAATTAAAGGACCCTACCAGCTACACTACCGCCAGAGCAATTAATGACATCCTTTGATCCAACCCCAAATCCCACTCAACAACTTGTTATTGATTGATAATTTGACTTCTTAATAAACAACATACAATATACCAACTTCATAATAATCAGCCGTGATACTACCTACTACTTTTATAGACATCTTCAAAAGGCAAACTCGGATCGATTTACCGCGCATCTAGTATTTACTTGTACCCACACTGCGATTCCAATCTTCCTCAAAGGGCAAAACAACAACATACAACAAGCAAACGACAAATTATCTGCGAAAAGGCAAACAATAAGCGTAATTGCTGTAAAGCTCTTCGGTCTCCTTCAGCTCAATCTATACGACACCATCTTACGAATCAAATAATACCCCCAGGAAGCACAGACTTGCAACGAAGCAGACCACCATTGCATTCCTCATTTGATACTTGCACGACTCTCAAAGAACAGCTGGACACAACACTATTCAAAGAACCTTCGTCCATATTTCAGAGCCAATTCTGTTCCAAAATAAAACCTGCGAGATTAGGCATTCATCGATCATAGCAGGCAGGAGGGTGTCTCAAATATCAAATCGTCGGCCGATGCCGTGGGGGAGGCTCACAAAGAGCCGTTGTGTACTTCGTTGGCATTACGCACAAGATACAAGAGCTGGGATTACCTTCAAGTTTTCAAGGTTGGCCGGGTGCTAAACATTCCGTAATATACCTCAGTCCAATTGGAACAATCTTTCCTTTCAGACGATAAATTACGAGCGTCTAGGGATAATTGCACGGCATTGTTGCGGTGACCCTCCTTGGTCGATTTCATTCAATATTACTCCCATGCCATCAAGTGTGAGACTTGAAAACACAACTTCCCTGGGGGTTACAAGGAAAGGATTGGAATGGATTCACAGTTCCCGGCTTCACGAGAAGAACTATATCATGTTCAAATGGACGTGAAGCATGTACAAGCCGTACAAATCAACCATTCCGACCGCCTCATGAGACTGGAGAAGCGCCAAGCGGACGATGCCGCTCTCAAATCCGTTTGGGGTACAAATTCGCCATTTCCTGGCATTTTGAGCGGTACTCCTCAACAAGGTATGTGTTAGACTTGATCCTCGCAAGGCTGGTTGAAATACTAACACATTGAATCATAGGTCCTGTTCACAACTCTCCTACGGATGTGTTCGATGACTTTGATGACGAAGAAGAGCAAAATCTACTTGGGAGTCTTCATCTAGATAACGATGAGGAGCCAGTGCGTAGAGGTACTTCGAGAGCGAACAGTGTACGCTTCGACGTGAGCGCTCTACAGGGGTCACATTGGGCACAAGCATCAAGGGCGTCAGGGGAGTTTGGTCCCGCTCGCCCGACTAGTGGATTTGGCAGTCATCCTATGACTGAGCGTTCCTCATCGCATAAGTCAGATGGGAGGCATAGCTCTGCTGGTCACTCTGTCCACTCCACTCATTCCGTTCCCTCTGGACGCACAAGTAGCCTAGGCTTGGATACCAATTTTATGATCGGGAACCCGGACGATGATTCGCCCTTGGAAATACCGGACCCTCCTCCAGGTCTGTTTATCCTAGGTTCAGTACCTTCAATCATCAGATGCTGGCTTACGGTCAACTTTTCTCACAGTGCACTCCTATATGCCGATATTTGTACAGGTTCACAAAAATCTATCCTTGACTATTCGCTTGTAAAAGAGCTTGGCCTAACAAATCAAATACAAAAGGATCCAACAAATGGACGTTACGTTATCAGGCTACCTGTGTATCTTCCGGAAGCAATTATAACGCAATCGTCTTCTAGAGTCAATAGTCCCGGCCCTCATTTACCGACTCTCACAGCAGATTTTGAGGTAGTTGGCATGAATCAACGACCCTTTGCCGATCTCAAAAGATCAATACGTGTATTTATTGGTAGTGATACTCTACGTGCGCACAACGCAGATATACTCTTCTCGCAAAACCTCATGACACTCTTCGGCGATGATCGTAATAAACTGTCTGTGCCATTCGTGCGACCGGAAGATGAACTTCTTTTCAAGAATTTATGCATCGCAAATATCCCACCTGAAAGAAATGAACTCAAAGCAACGGCTCTTCCTTTTACGCCCAGTGAACAGCGATCCAAGATTGAACCTACGAACGCAGGTGATGTACTTGATGGATCACGTGCTGATCATGTCAAGCCCACAGACAAAGATGACCATTCTGAAAGTGTTACAAACCCACAAACCAGCTCTGCCGCCACGTCTTCATCACCTGTTCACAGTATTCCCCCCATGTTGGAAGCTGAGATTTTTATGAAGAACAGTGGCAGTACTTCAGACTCGGAAAAGTTTCACAAATCGGACCAAGGCGTGGCCGATACAAACAAAGTCGAGTCCATGAACGCAGCTGATGCGCTCAAACGTGAAACGCCTATGGGGACTTGGGGTTCATGGCGGCAAGGCAGTACACCACTGAATGCTGATCACAATAGTGATTCTACGAGTGGGTATCAAAGAGCAGTTCGCGGAGGTCGAAGTATGAAGGTGCTAAAACCATCAAAATCCATTTCGTCTCCATCAAATCCAGCTGCTAGTCGTTCGTCGTCTGGTGCAAGAACAGGTGCATCTTACGAACCGGCGCCTTCAAGATCAATGGCTGATCTCAAACGCAAGGATCAACCCAATGGGACTGATAAAGCACAGCTTCGTTGGGAACAAAAGAGAGTAAGTTCAGAGGATCAGAAGAGTGCTAAAGTGATTACAACCATTCCGCGATCGTCGAATCCTGTAGGCGGTGCTTCAGCTTTCGCGTGGATGAACTCCAGCAAGCCGAAGGTTTCTGTCGCTTCCACAGACTCCTGATGTTTCATTAAATAGGCATGTATTGCGAGCAAATGATGCGAAATAATTGTTATGTACTTGACTGCTTAGTGCTCAGATAACTAAATTTAAAATTATATCACATCTTGACTTTTTTATGCTATTTTTGCAATCTCTTGATACCCCTTTCACATCTTACTGAGAAGAGTGCTCATGATATCCTTTGTACTCGCTGAAGATTCCTTCACGAGAGTAGCAATTGCTTTGAATCTACGAAGAGATATTAATAAAATCCAATAATCAAATCACAGGCCGAGGAATAGATCATATCACTTACTCGGGAATACTAGAGGAGTTAGCTTGACTTCATTTATAATACGTTACGAAGAAATAAAGAAAGGTGCATACCTAGCATCACCCATAATCTCATACATGATCGACTCCGAGGTTGTCACGATAGCACCAGCAGCCCTCAGCCGATCAAGAGCTATAGGTATCTCTTGCGGGTTGCAGCTACTCACACCGTCGGCTAATACATATACCTATGCAAATTGTTAGCCCCTCTATGTTGTGCTCATTAAGTACACTCACTTTGTGCCCATTGGCTAGCAAATCCAATGTCGTTTGTGTAACGCAGATGTGCGATTCAATGCCCACGATAATCACTTCGGCTGGGGTAGCAGAATGGAAATGTCGAGAAATCGATGGGATCCACTGGGTTGGGATCATGAGTTAGTCGCCAACGACATCTTTTCACATCATGGAAGGACAATATCGACGCAAAAGCTCTCATTTCAAGGTCCATATATGATGATAGTAGAGTTCACATACCATGCTAAAAGCCGTTTTGTCTGCATGCTCAACAGCATTGGGGATGTTAAGCTCAGCGCACGTTTCACCCAGTCGTGCGCGATTCTGTGTGGTGGCATAGATGGGAATATGAAGTATATCACTTGCTTTGATCAACTTTTGAGTTGTCGCGATGCTGAGGTGGAGAGTAAGTGATAGGATCTTTAGATTAGGGAAGTTGGATAAACGCACACTTTCTCATATTCCCATATCGCTTTGCGAAACTTTTCTTGAATGTCGCAAATACTTTTTGGAAAGGGGGGTTAGTGGAGGGATTCAAGGGGAACGGGGATCAAGAGTGGTCGGAGAATGGGGAACGAACAAGAGGGCAGGTCTGACTGAGTTGCGTAAGTATTGAGAAGCTAGAAGTGAGGGACGGAACTTACTCAGACGTTTTCCTACATGTTCTATCATTTTTGCAATATGAAGAATGATACTTTCATCTGTTTACTTGTTGGAGTGTTATTGCGTTTTCTGGGGTAGGTGGGGTATGTAAGCCGAGGATGTGGAGCTAAGGGAACGAAGCGCGATTGGCACTTCGTCCCGGATCAAGGGGCTTTTGGTGTGGCTCTGAGAAAGTCAAGAGCACAGGGCATTAGATTTACGAGAACATATGCGGGTACACCAGTCTTAATGATTTTTTATACATAGAAAGTTACCATACAATGGTTTCAACTCTCGCTTTTTGAAGCCATCGCAAATCACTCTGAGAGTTTGCCTTTTGTATAACATATAGTTCATCAATCAGCGCTGGAACAAATGTACCTGGACCTCTCACATCCTCTCGGACAGCTGCTATCTCGGCTGCAATCTCGTAGTGAAGCAATGCTGATAATACAGCGAGAAGCTTGTCTTCACGACTGACTGCCAACATTGCTGAGATGATAGTACCCAAAACACAACCACTCCCCGTGATTCTGCCCAAGATTTCATGCCCATTGGATATTGCAAAGGTACGTACTCCGTCGCTCAAAATATCAACCGCCCCGGTCATCAGTACTACGTTGCGCTCCCTCAATGCTAAATCACGCACGATTGTAGCTTTCTCCGCGAGACTCGATGTACTTGAGCCACTGTCAACACCTCGTTGCTGAATAAGTGATCCGGATACGGTCTTGATTTCTCCCTCGTTTCCTTTAATGACATCAAAGTAACCATTTGCTAAAAGTGATTTAACTGCTGAGCGCCTTACAGCAGTAGCTCCGCAGCCCACTGGATCGAGTACAATTGGTCCTCCTGCGTTGTTGTATGCTCTTAGAGCCTTTGAGTAATTGTTTATACCTTCGGGAGTGACCGTTCCCATGTTAATAACCAAGCCTCCTCCAAGTTTCGCAAGATCTGCCGCTTCCTCTCCATAATTTGCCATGATAGGACTGGCACCGATTGCCAGAGCCACATTAGCAGCAAAGTTTTGAACCACGAGATTTGTCATATTATGAGACAGAGGCATCTTCTTAGCAACATCTCCTATGATACCAGGAACCTGCAATAAAACTTCGCGAAGGTCTTTTACTTTTTGATCATGTGGTAAATGTGCTAGAGCAAACGGAGCCGGGGTCCGCATAAGTTCTGCAAGTTCGTGGGCAGCCTTTTCGGCATCTTGTGCTGCTATGATTGCACTGACGATGGCCACCCCGTCAAGCTGCTTGCCCTCTGATGCCGACTGATACAGGACACGCTGTAGATTTGAGGAATTGATGCCACCTATTGCTACGGTTCGCACTTGGCTTCCTGCCTGTTGCAAAGAATGCAGAACTTCCTTCGTGCCAGCGGTTCCAATAATATCCTTGGTGTTGGTTTTCCTATTTCGAAATCCATCAGAATACTCCTCATTAATTTAAAGCAAATAGATTAGGTATGAAGATTGAATTGAGATTCTGTTCCCGCTGAATAAGGTTACTCGTTGTAAATTTGTGCTGGAACAAAGGTACCACTTGATCTCTTAAAGCTCTCGAATCTGAAACTCAAAGACGTATTGCCGTGCTATTCTTACGTTGGTGTGGCAAACATTGTGCCAATTCCTAGATAATCTGCACCATCTTTAGATGCTGTCAAAGCTTCTTGGACATTGGCCACTGTTACTCCGATAATTGCATCCTTGCCCAGCAGTACTCTTGCCGTCTTCAGATCTGGGTCAAAGTTAGAGACATGAGGGAAAGATAGCATTATCACTTTATTCGTGAAAGAGGATCTAACCCATATCATCCTGACCAATATGGACACCTTCACACGCAACTGCAAGAGCAACATCGATTCGATCATTGATCAAAAGTGGAACGTTGTACTTTCGTGTGACAGCATGTAACTTCCTCGCAGTATCAACCAGGGCAGCTGTATCGCTGTATTTGTCTCGATATTGCACAATCGTGACACCACCACGAACTGCAGCATCTACCACATCAACAAGATTTCTATCACCAAGTATAGCAGGTGTAGAGTCGGTCACAAGGTAAAGAGAGTAATCAACTTTTTTGAGGGCGCCCATTTTGGGAGAATAGAGACAGGTTTGAATTAATACGAAGTCAGGAATACGGATATCAGTACCCGGGAAGGAAGGAATAACAGGAAGAAGGAAGGAGGAAGAATTTTGGATGGCTAAAGATGGAGATGAATATTACTAGGTAGGCATGAAGCATATCAATGAATCATATGCTTAGACGCGGCACGTGTAGTTCTTCCTCCCATATAATTTTTATACGTACGAACAACTGAAGTTGGCTTTGATATTATCAATTTGTAAAATTCTATATTATATATAGTTACATTTGATAAACGCAAATTTCAATATATTTACTCAATATAGTAATTTTACCAAATAGTTCATAATTGATTATATTGATCCTCACCTAGTCAGGAATACCTTGCTGTAGCTGTTGTATTCCTCCTTCCTAGCTCCATTTTTTTTCTCTCGTTGACAAGGGCTTACCATTTCCACCATCAATATCCGAAACCTTTTATTTGGAAATTCTTTCAAACTTTCTTTCCCCCTCTACAACCTTCCTCTTTCTTTGCCTTCTATCAAACAAAAACAACACAACAAACAATAATTCCATCAACAATACAACAACACTTTTGTATTGGAGATTCTTTCAATAGAATAAATTCCATTTGAAAAGGTCCAGTCTGCTACGGTCCCATCTATCCCAAATCGTCGGAATCAAACAAATCCCACACATCGCAAATCAAAGTTGTTCAAGAATACGTGAAGCAATCACTTTTGCTTTTCGCTCTTGTACCTGTCGGATATTCAACCTTCAGACTTCATATCTCTACAGCTTGCATCTTTTAGTATCTGACAGATACTTCATCTTTGCTAACAAGGATTTTCTTCCCTTGAATTCTTCACCCAAAGCTATCAGCACGTACAGTGATACATTTGCGTTATATGTATCTCACACCCAACGCCAACGACCTCAGACATCAGCCGCCCCTCGAGCTGCAACCATTTCGCATACCGCGGAAACCTTGTAGTTCTTACTTCAGTAGCAACGGCTAAGTATTATCCTCTACGATTCGAATGTTCCCGTAACCACCAACCAAACTTTACCAACCTCAACCGACTTCGCCATTTCAACGAGTTCAACTTTTCTGCATGTTATATTTCAGATTATCGCATTATCTAAACAATTTCTGCACGCCTTAACCTTCACGAAAATATACAATTCGACTCAATACTACCTATTAACAATCATGGCTACCGTCAATATCCGCCGCGATGTCAAGGACAACTTTTACAGATACAAGATGGAGAAGATCCAGTCCAAAATTGAAGGAAAAGGTAACGGCATCAAAACCGTCATCGTCAATCTCACCAGCATCGCCAATTCATTGGCCCGCCCAGGGGCATATGTCATTAAGTATTTCGGCTTCGAACTCGGGGCTCAAACCAATACCAACCCTGCCGATGATCGTTGGATCATCAATGGTGCTCATGAAGCAAGCAAATTGCAGGATTACTTGGATGGTTTCATCAATAAGTTTGTGCTCTGCAAAGAGTGCAAGAACCCTGAAACCGAAGTAATCTTCAAAGATGGAAACATCGTCTTGGATTGTAAGGCATGCGGCAAGCGTTCGATGGTCGACCCTAGACTTAAGTTGAGCGGCTTTATCTTGAAGACTCAACCAAAGAAGGGCAAGAAAGACAAAGCAGAAAAGAAGGCAGCTCGTAAAGCCAAAGCAGACAAGGGCGAAGCCAAGGACAACGAAAATGCTAGTGGTAGCGAGAACGCATCTGAAAATGGATCCAATGACAACAATGGCGCCGGCGACGTGGCACTCGATGCTCCAAGTGACGATGAGCTTGTTCGTCAAGCAGAAGAGCTTCAACAATCTACCGAAGTCAAAGACGATGACTGGGCAGTAGATATGTCCCCAGAAGCTGTCAAGGCCCGTCAGCAACAGCTTCCTGATGATCTCAAGCAAAAGCTCGTCTTAGGTGGCGCTGGTGGGGATGAGGACGACGATGAAGAAGGTGGCGGAAACTCTACCTACGATCAGCTTGCAAACTGGATTGAAGAACAGACTGCGGAGAAAGGTGACGTCAGTAAGGTAGACGATCTTCAAATTTATCTTAAGGCGAAAGAGCTGGGAATCGAGGCGAAGCATCGCACTCTCGTTATTCTTGCTCTTACACTCTTCGATGACAACATTGTGAAGCAGATTCCAAAGCGAGCAGGCATGCTTAAAAATGTAAGCTTACGAATATTTTATCCTAATTATCCCATGAATACTAATCTTGTTGCAGATGATCACTTCTGAGAAACACGAAAAGTCTCTCCTTGGTGGAATTGAAAGATTCATTGGCCTCCGCGGTCAAAAGAACTCTGAATTTTACGAGAAAACATCAAACATTCTCATGGTCCTCTATGATCAGGAACTCCTCAGCGAAGAGGTCATCAATAAGTGGGGTACCAAAGCCAGCAAGAAATATACCAATGACCTTGCTGTGAGCAAGAAAGTTCGCAAGTCAGCAGAGGGGTTCTTGAAATGGTTGGCAGAGGCTGAGAGCGATGACGAGGACTCCGAGTAACGGGCAAAGCGTGCCTTGACCAAGCCCGCACGGAGTGTTTTATTTTATTTCTGAAGTTTTGTCTTAAATAGTATCATTGTTAGGCCTTTTTGCCAGTTAAAGTATCACGGGCTTATGTTCATTCATGAATACATTCCATAGATCTTTTTTTGGTCGGCTGCTACTGTCTTCAGATTTGCTTAGCATCACTCAAAAGTCCCACTCACTGCTAGTAACCAAATATACTCCACTCTTTCACCAATTGTCCATGAGATCTATCTGTGAGAAAATGCAAGACATAGTGATCGCGACTATGAGTAAGTTTTATGTCAATCATTACATTACATTAAACTATGATGAGAGGTCTCGGAGACGGAAATATATAGCCATCAAGCGAAGGTATTTGAATTTCACAACGCAAACCAGACTGTAACACTAACCATACTGCATCAGCATTCACGGCTGATAACACATCGCGAACGTCGCTTCTGTCCGGTATGATTCTTGCCAGAAGATCCAAAACGTCATCGAATGCGTCATCGTTCACTCCCGTACATTCCACTATAGCCATCAAAAGCTTCACTACACTCTCCCACATCTGTGCAGCCTGTGAGTGTATACCACGACCACCAGTTCCAGTTTTTTCCGCCAACATGTTAGCCCTGGTCTGCCTGGCCAACACAATCAAGCGGGGCCACTGCGCAGCAATTCTCGTGTTAAGAAAATTTCCAGCACTTCTGCAGATAGCAGCGATGGAGTCTGCAGCTGCGATGGCAACATGTGATTCCTTATCGTATAATCGATCTATGACTACAGGCCATATATCATTAACAAGAGGTAAGAAGTTCTCCTGGTCGCTTTGTAGAGCAGCGGAGGATGTGCGTATCAATCCCAGCAATCGCGTACGTAATGTAGGGGATGGATTTGTAAGATAGTGCTGACAGAGGCGGATAATGTTCTGGACCATGGTGTAGGTTTTTGTAACAGGAATCTTTTCTGTTTCGACATTGTTATCTTCGTTGCTTTCACCAACCTCTTTCATGTCGTCCAATAATGCAGAGGCACTTTTCCACGGCTCTCGTGGAAACTCATCTGGTCCGATACTCTCTTGCATCTTGAGTCGTTCTTGCTGCCTCTCGATTGCCTGAACGATGCTGTCAATCGTAATGGCACGAGTTCCACGTTGGAAGACATCAACATGTGGTACGCCAGGTAGTCGCAATTGGCGAGATTGTGAGCCCGTTTCCACAATCTCTCCGAGCACGGCAAATAGACCTTCTACCAATCCCTGATAGCCATGGAAATTGTCCAAAGCGGCAAATATAGAAGATACCACATCGTCGAGATATAAAAGTAGAGATGGTCCCGTCAACCGAATCATCATTATTAGTACTTGTGGAGCTTGGGGTGATATGTCAAATGTGTTCAATCTCAACGAAATTGCGTTCACCATATAATCGACGTTCTCCACGATAAGTTCTCGGGTGCTCGGGTATTCGCAAGCTTGTGCAAGTGTGTTTAGACAAATAGTTGCGCGCCCTCTTAAATCAGCACTGGTCGAACCTAAAAGCTGCGACACGGGGTATAGTATATCCACAAGCTCTGCTCGAAAGTCTTTCTTTAATCGCTTGGCCGAATTAGACACAACCTCTAGCGCGATCCCTTTTACTCGCCAATCGAGATTATGGTCTTCACTGGACAAAACTGATATCGAGTAAGAATACAAATCATGGTTGGTGGCTTGATAGTCGTCCGAAGCAAGGAGTGTCGATTCGAAAAACTCATTCATTTCCTCGTTTTGAGAAGCAGCCAACTGTATCAATTGGGATGAGATCCAGTAAGCAGCTAATAGACTTGGACCAGATGCTTGCCGTACATACTCGAGCATCTCGCTGGCCATGATCATGTGTGATTGCGATTCATTCAATGACCTTAGAAATGTTACAATAGCGATTCTTGTAGACTTTTGACTTTCTTCCGGCATCAATATGGGAGGGAAATCCCTCAAGAGTATCTGTTCGCTTGACAACATCATCAAATCCTGACTATTCGGGTCTAACAAAACCTCTTGCATCGCCCGATGGTGAGAAGAGGTCTCCATTACACTAGACAGACCGTCTCGTAGCGATCTCGAAAGTGCTTCGTCAAGTATAGAAGAGCCCAGATCCAATGTGCTCAATAATTTGTATGATGCTTCAAGTTGGTGCAGTGCGGAAACCTTGGCAGTCTCATCGCTCATTTGCATCACTCGTGGTAAGCTGGTCACCCAGTTATAACACGTTTTTTTGATTGACTCGCCGATGCTTGAATGTATAGTAGCCAAGTCCACAATGGAAGTTGTGCTAGCATCAAGAGGATCTTCTGCGCCAACTAATGACAAACAGGTCTCCACCAGAATAGAAGTCGAATCAACCAATGTATCATGGCATTCATCCAATAGAACGATGCAAAATCGATTGAGTGAGACACGGACACTATTAGATTTGTGTGTACGCAACTTTACGACATTTGCTAGAGAGAGCTTTATCTGAGAAGTGGTTGCAGTGAGCCAGGATTTCGTAAGCATGTCATTCTCGCGCTTGTTTTCCACTTCCATCCCTGTATTCCTGCTTGCCCTGATAGTACGAGTCTTGACATCGCTCAATAGTGTGGTTAAAACCAGTAGTAGACTTTCTAATGCCATAACAATAGTTTTCTGTGACCTTCGAGATGTTGTAGTGGGGGTGAGGCATTTCGTGAGGGCTGAGACTGTGCCTGGAAGGAAACTAGCATGAGCCTGTACATCTTTGATGCAATTCCATGCAGCTTTCAAAGCATTCAACCCTTCTGACTGGATCTCTGTCGATGGGCCATCCGTGATTGCATCGAGTATCGATGTAATACAGTGTCCAACTGCTGGTATGGTGGTCTCGGCAGTGATTGTAACGGATGCCTCTGGAACACGCGCCAAGTCGTCAAATAAAGCTGCAAGGGCAGCCAGAGCTTCAAGAACGAGTTCTTCTGGGGCTTCCATTGGAGCTTGTCCCGGTACTCCTCCGATCATCAACGTCAGCAGGATCATGAGTTGCTTGGCAAGATCCATCGCAATATGGTTTCGCCATCCTTGTTCCAGTAGTAGCCTTAAACATTTCAGAGTGAGCTCCGATAGTTTGTCCGTATACTTTTGCTTCGAACGCAGGATCTGGGATAATGGGAAGAAGACATCTAGTAACACACTGATAGTCAGTTCTTGCGTAATTCTTCGACCGAAATGCCAGAAATTCCAAAAACATACAATCTGCCAGCTTCTCGTCGAAAGCTTCATTTTCACAACTTCGCCGCAATGCGCCAAGAAGGTTTTCCGTTGACGATATTAGAGAGCTGCTGTCGCCGGCATTCTTCAGTGCCAATTGGCTCAAGTTAACGCAGTATGGTTTGAGCTGTTCCACGTCGTCAATATTGCAACGAGAGAAGCAGCGACGATTGTTACCTCCTGAAATATTTCATTTCTTGTCTTAAGAACTCTTGAATCCATCTATTTCTAAAGTGTTCAACTTCACCATCTGCAGACCAGAACATTTTTGGTGAGTTGGAGCGATTATCTGAAATACGAGGCTGTTTGTCAGCCTTTTGTGCGGGGCCTTTGGAAATATACCAAGTCCGTACGTAAGCACGTGGCTCCGCTTGCTCGCGTGATAAGGCTTAGCTACAGAGCGTCGAATGTGAAATGGTGAATCTAATACACCCCTCTGCTGACCTTTTGATCAGATCCTTGAGAACAATGGTATAGCACGAGGTTTATTAATTTCAACAAACAGTTTTGATGAAGATCTTCTCAAGTTGATTGATGTGTCGGTCGAGTTCTACTGAGTAGGGAATGTTTCGCTTGAACTGTACCGTGTGCGTATTGTATTCATGGCTAAGTGGCATTCGTATAGGAGAATGGCATCTCTGCTTTTCCTCCTATCCAGAATCTCTGGGCCTATTCGCGTTAACTCGGATAGGACCGTTGAAAGAGTGCGCAGACTTGAAATATTCACATTTTGGCGGGAGGAGTCCTGACAACATTCATGCTGGGCTCTGCCTAAACGGATCAATCGTTTTGTCTTTTCTTTCCCGTGGGCTGCTTACCGGGGTATTTTCAGATATGAGAACTTACTGATTCCATGGAGGTTTGCTTATTCTGCTTTTTTTCATTCCTTTGGTATCACTCATACCTGGTTTTCATCGCTGCGCCCACTATGTGACATACATTTCAACAATCAGTATGTACTGGATTTCTGTTTATTTGCAGGACTTATCTAGTTGTCTGGATCATTACATCTTGTCTAGGCACACGGAGTATCTGTGCGTGAAGTTACATGCTACAGGTGAGAAGGATGGCAAAGGTGAGAGTGGTGATACTTCAAGCAATGGCGGGGACACGTCAACGAAGAGTGATAGTCGCGAATGGGCGGAACATAATATATTTACTGATGACACATTTAGAATCACTGAGGGAAACCGAAAGGCTCACAAATGACGTGGCTATTTCTAGGGAGCTATTCGAGGCAAATCGTGATACTGAATGGATTCTTGACGCTACGAATGCTGACAACGTTGTTGGCAGGAAATCGGATTGTGTTTATTGCACATATTCTCGCATTGCAAACACAGAGATATTAAATCTGATTTATAGCTCAAATCTCGAGTAAATTCTCCACATGATATACTTCTCTGAATTGTCAGTCAGCTTTTCCTCGTGATTTTAAATGCCTCATGGTTCAAATCGGATCAAACACTTGAAATAATGATTAAAATGCCTTTCCGCGTTCCGAGCTACTGGTTGTAACAAAGGAACAATTCTCGAAAAAACATAATAATCCTATAATGTTGTTTGGAGTATTTGTTCTACATGCACTCCGCTGGGGGGAAATTAACCCTTTTACATAACGAGTTTCAGCTTCACGTGTTGACTCGGCGTCTGCAGAACTCTGCGCATTGCTGGATCCCTTTCAAACTTAGCAAATAAAACATGTGTTCCAAAGGTTATGAGTGTGTAATAACAATAACTGGTTACCCCTAGTTCATTCCACTCTTTAAGACGTATAAGTTTGCGATGTCAGATTAATACAACATCTCAAAATCGAGGTGTCTTTTTATTTTCGATTTTATTTCTATAAAATTATTATCACGGTGCAAGGGATAGGTACTAGATTGGATATATAATATTCTATAAAGAGATTGAAAGTGGTATGATGTAACTTTGCTATATATTAGTAAAGATAACTAAGCATCCACTACACTAATATACTATACTAATGAACCCGTGACAGTATCCTCCTCTTTGAGATTTGTTTGTTCTAAACAAGCTGAGAGAAAGTGTATTAAGCAAATTATACTTTCTTTTATTGTAATAAATATCTATATTCCCTAAATTCTTTTATAGTTTTTTGTAAAGGGATCAAAATTGCTTTAGCCTTTGGGTATTTCAATATCCATTTCGATAATTCTAGCTTTTTTAAATATAAGTAATAATAATGAGCCATAATCTTTTTATTACTTTTAAGGTTTGAGGCTGGTTGTTAAGTTGAGGTATAATATCTTCATTTGACTAAGTAATAATACCTATCCTTATTGTAATTATCTAAAATACCTTCGAATATCTATTTCTAAATTGGTTTCTTTTTGCTATCTTTTTTTTCAAGAATTCTATTTTGTATAATAATAGTTTCCGTCTTGTTGATCTGGGATTATATTGGGAATTATTTGTTGTTATATGTTGATAAGAGTAGAGAATGATGAAAGATAGGGAAGATTTGTATATTCTTTAGTATTTGAATAAAATAAGATTGTAAGTAGACTTTAATGACTTTATATAGTCCAATCTATTTATTATCTAATTTCTTTGTTTTTCGAGGTATCTTTATATTCTTTGTATTAACAAATACCTTCTATTTTATATAATATCAAAGCGAGTCGGTTCGATATCGATTTGTATACTCCTTATATATATTTATAGCCTGTTTAGTAAGTGCTTAGAGTTGGTCTAGAATTCTCTTTATTCTATCTACTGTTTTATTGTCTTTAAAGAATTCGCATTTTTGAGCTAATATTATTCTGGTAGGCAAAGCTTGCTTGATTCAATATTAATGCTTAGGTTAAACCTATAGTTAATAAAGAATAGAGAATATTCTATAGTTTTCGAAATTATATTATTAAAGGCAAACTCTATCAATAATAGTTATTCTATTTAATCATTTTGATGAAAGTTAACAAAAGCGTGTATTATTATTATTATTATTATTATTATTATTATTAGTAATTTTCAACCGGGCCGTATAGACAAGCCTCTCAGAGGACATTACAGTTGAGCTAACTGCAGGATAATCTTTTAGTTTATATGATCCCCCTTTCCTAGGAATAGGATCTCAATATCCTCAGTAACCTCCCAAGTGATAGCTAGCATACTTACACCTTTGTCTCCAATCCTCTGAACGCCTTTGTATACGCTTTCCGATCTCTATATAATATTTGTTTGAAAACTGCTTTATTCTGTAAGAATAGTTTTTGTATATATTCTATTATAATATGATATACCACATACTTCAATTTTCTTCTATATAGCTTTTCTAGATCTATCTCCTTTTACTCCTTATTTATATTTGCTTAAATTAATCAATCCCTTTCCTTCTCTCCTTTTATTCTTCTAATAGCGTTTTAGAATATATACTTTTATAAAAGTCTATTATAACAATAAATTTAGCGAATTTGATTGATATATATATTAGTTGTTTTAATAATCGTTTTTGAACTACTTAATTACAAAATAGATATTTAAACTTAATATCTAAAAATCAGGTTTATAAATCGCAAAGACTTTATAGCAATATACAATATACTTAAGGGATTGAATATTTTATATAAACAATAGATTATTATTTCCTTATATTTAAATCATTAATAATAGCTTTCGAAATCATTATATATTAAGCAGATCATTAATATATAATGAAGAATTGTTTATAAGAGTTCTAATTCCTTAGGGTATTTGTTTGTACTCTTTAGATTCCATTTCTAGTATTATTTGAAAAGCATTAATATTTGTTTGATCTACTATATTTGTATTATCGATTCCATAATAGTTTTTGTTATAAAACAAATACCACTTACTATAAATTAATTTACATATTGTTAGAAAAGGGTGCTTATTACCGCATATCACGCTATGCTGTATCGGGATTAGCCCGCATGTGACTCTGTCGAGTCCACATATATATATCGTATCTCTATGTAGACTTAATAATATTAAGGCTTTTCCACCAACTTATATATGATCTTCTAACAGGTTATAAGCCCGGGTTCGTGTGGCGCTAGGATTAGTCTTCCGGAATTACTTGATTAAAGCTACGACAGACAATAGCTATTCTGTTAAATCCGGAGGACTGTCGTCTTTGTAAATATGGTTCAATCCTAAAGACATCCAGATAGCATCTAGCCCAATACGATTGAGCAATTGGGGGAGCGCGGTTTTGCTTGGTAAATGAATTTGGTTTTAGTATTGTTGTAAGATTCCGGTATCCTATGTAGTATTGTAAAGCACGCAGCACTATTACGGTGAAGACTGTAATAAATATTCAGGTATACAGTACCAAGCGATCCAGTTTGTAAAGTTGAAGATAGTGGAGATTGTAATAAATACTCAGGTGCGTGGTATTACAGCAATCCAATCTATAGGGTTAAAGATAATGGAGATTATACGAAATATTCAGGTGTGTGGTATTACAATAATCCAATCTATAGGGTTGAAGATAGTGGAGATTGTACGAAATATTTAGATGCGTGGTACTATAGTAATTCAATCTACAGGGTTGAAAAAAAGCGATAAAGCTCTAGCAGACGACTACCACTCACTCTTATCTTTTTTTGATAACTCGAGAATCCCAGTTACAATACAATTCCCTCGATTTCCTATCTTTCGATTCTTTTCTTTGTTTCGATTCTTATAAGCTCTATATCAATAATAATAATACAGTATAAACAATTGATAGTGCTTTATAAATCAATTAAACTTTATATAGTTAAGGATTACCTATAGAAAACCTTGAAGTTGAGAATGCTTTGGATATAGTTTATAAAGGAGCTATGAAAACCTATTTGATTTAATAAAGATTTTCTTTATTTTAGAAATTTTCCTATTATTCCCTCTATTTCTTTAATAGTTTTTCGATTATCTATATCTATAATCTGATGAATATAATGATTATTGGATTATTGTTTTATTTAATATCAGTTTTTATAGTATTTAATTTGTTTTGCTCACCAGTTCCGCTATTTTACAACATTTCAGCTCTCAATCTCATCTTCTTTCGACTTCGATATTTTTTTATTTATTTATAGTTTATGTAATATATCCTGTTCTAATAGATCAATGTATATTACTAAACACAGATCGATTGTCTTTCTTTTCGATTACTATTTTCATACAATTTTGATTTCGATCTTCTATGTTGACAATGGCTATACTGGCAATCGAGGGGAAGGGAGAGTATATAGAGAGCCAGAGGGTCTGTAGAGACCCGAAGGCATTGAGTATAGGGAGCTG